TGTATCAAAAATTTTTTTTAATAATTAAATTATTTGATAAATTTTATGAAAATAGTAAATATTTAAAATTATTGAATTGCGAAAAACTTTTGAAAATAATTGAAATTTTGCAAAGAATTTTATTTAAATTTTTGAACAAAATTAAATTTTTGGAAATAATTAAATTTTGATGACTAAATCTAATAGTTTTAAAAATAATTGAATTCTTCTGATGAATTTTGGTTTTTTTTAAGAATAATTGAATTTTGCAAAGAAATTTCCTCAAATACCTAAAAATAATTTAATTTTGCGAAATTTTATTAAAATTTTTGAAAATAATTGAATTTCGGAGAGGAATTTAATTATTTTCAAAGATAAGATTGAAATTTTGACTAGAATTTAAAAAAATTGTTGAACATAATCGAATTTCTGAGAAGAATTTTATTACTTTTGAAAATAATTAAATTCTTGTGATGAATTTTGTTATTTATGGAAATAATCGAATTCTGTAAAGAAATTTTTTAAAATTCCGGAAAATAATTGAATTTTGCGAAATTTTATTAAAATTTTTGGAAATAATTAAATTCTTATGAATAATTCTAATACATTTAAAAATAATTTAATTCTTGTTATGAATTTTGGTTATTTATGAAAATAATTGAATTTTGCAAAGAATTTTATTAAAATTCCTGCAAATAATTGAATTTGCAAAGAATTTTATTAAAATTTTTAAAAATAATTGAATTTTGGGAAGAATTTTATTAAAATTCCTCAAAATAATTGAATTTTACGAAGAAGAATTTTATTAAAATTTTCAAAAATAATTGAATTTCGGAGAATAATTCTAATCCTTTTAAAAATAATTGAATTCTTGTGATGAAGTTTGGTTATTTATAAATATAATTGAATTTTGCGAAGAATTTTTTTAAAATTCCTAAAAATAATTGAATTTCGGAGAATAATTCTAATACTTTTAAAAAAAATTGAATTCTTGTTATAATTTTTGGTTATTTATGAAAATAATTGAATTTTGCAAAGAATTTTATTAAAATTTTCAAAAATAATTAAATTTCGGAGAATAATTCTAATACTTTTAATAATAATTGAATTCTTGAGATGAATTTTGGTTATTTATAAATATAATTGAATTTTGCGAAGAATTTTATTAAAATTTTTTAAAATAATTGAATTTCGAAGAATATTTCTAATACTTTTAAAAATAATTGAATTCTTTTGATTTTATTTTATTCAAATTCCTAAAAATAATTCAATTTTGCAAATAGTTTTTTTTCTAAATTTCTAAAAATAAGTGAATTTTTGTAAAAAAAATTTATTATTTGTCAAGATAATTGCATATTAGAACTTTTTAAATAATTAAATAATATTAAAAAATTCATTCTAGTCAGAATTAGAATAAAATTTTAAAGGTTTTGTATTAGAATTCGTGGTATTTCTATAATTTATGAGGCAAACAAAAAAGAAAAAAGACGTAAACAAATTAGAGTTTTTTTCATGAATTCTACAAATTTAATTTTTTCCAGTATTTTTCAGGGAAAATCCCTGACTTTTCCTTAATTTCCCGGACCAATTTTACTTTCCCTGACCTGTGGCAACCCTGTTTTAAATATTAACGACTAAATAAAATACGTCACACCTTCTTCTCGATTCTTTATTAACATCGGGTGAAACGTTCACTTTTGTATTAAGTATATAAGAGCTCGTGATTTACGAGTAAAATAATGCTGAGCACCATATAGCATTTCTATAAACCCGTGGCCCGCGCGTTGATCCGTGGGAATGCATCAAGAAAAAGCAAGAAAAAGGGAATGAGAATGAGAAGCGAGCGTAAAATGAGAATTAGAATGAGAGACAAAAGAAGGGATATGGAATCGCGAATAATGCAAAAGAGTACGAGGAATGAAATGGGTCCCAAAAGAGGAAGAGAGGAACCTCAGCTGAGAAATCGTGGAAATAAGAGTGAATAAGAGTGAATAGAAGTAGGGAGAGAGTGCGGCACGAGAACTGAAGGGTCACGCCTGAGGGAATGTAGCGTGGGAGCGGCTGGTAGTAGTCTGTTCATGTCTGGATTACCTATCTCTCGATTATATTATATTATATTATTCACCTGACTTTGACTTTCTTAACAATTTTATCCTACATGATGTGCTCCAATTGGAATCGAAACACACATCACGTTCTCTCGATTAACATGGTTGCAACAAAAAAGATTATTTTCTTTTTCTCCTGACTTTTCCCTCATTTCCAGAAAAAATTTTCATTTCTTCCCTGACCCTGAAGAATATTCTGATTCACTCCAAAAATTATTAGGTACTCAAAAAAATGTTCTATTACCTTTATTTACAAATATCTTTAAAAGTAAAATTATTCGGAAACATCAATAACTTAATTTTTAAATGAAGAAGAAATTCAATTATTTTTAAAAATTTTAATAACATTTAGCAAAATTCAATTAGTTTTAGGAATTTTAATAAAATTCTTTGCAAAATTCAGTTATTTTCATTGATAACCAAACTTCATTACAAGAATTCAATTATTTTTAAAAGTATTAGAAATATTCTTCTCAGAAATTCAATTATTTTCAAAATTTTTAATAAAATTTCCCAAAATTTAATTATTTTTACGAATTTTAATAAAATTCTTTGCAAAATTCAATTATTTTTTCATAAATAACAAGAATTCAATTATTTTCCAAAGTAATAAAATTCTTCGAAGAAATTCAATTATTTTTAAAAATTTGAATGAATATCTTGTCATGAATTCAATTATTTTCAAAAATTTTAAATAAAACTCTTTGCCAAATTCAATGATTTTTAGGAATTGTAATAAAATTCTTTGCAAAATTCAATTATTCTCATAAATAATCGAAATTCATCACAAAAATTTTAATATTTTTAAAAGTACTAGAATTCTTCTCAGAAATGCAATTATTTTCAAAAATTTTAATAAAATTTCCTAAAATTCAATTATTTTTACGAATTTTAATAAAATTCTTTGCAAAATTCAATTATTTTCATATAAATAACAAGAATTCAATTATTTTCCAAAGTAATAAAATTCTTCGAAGAAATTTAATTATTTTTAAAAATTTGAATGAATATCTTGTCATGAATTCAATTATCTTTATAAATAGCAAAATTTTTCGCACAAAAATTCAATTATTTTCAAAAATTAAAATAAAATCCTTGCAAAATTTAAATTATTTTCAAAAGTTTTTCGCAATTCAATAATTTAAAATAATTTACTATTTTTATAAAATTTATCAAATAATTTAATTATTTTCAAAAATTCAATTATCTTGATAAACAAAAAAAGTGTTCTACATAAAATCAATTATTTTAAGGAATTCTAATGAAATTCTTTTCGAAAATTCAATTATTTCGATAAATATCAAAATTCATCATAAGAATTCAATTTTTTTAAAAACTAATAAAATACTTTCCGAAAATTAAATTATTTTCAATTTTTTTTTTAAAATTCTGGTTAAACAATTTTAAAATTTCCTAGGAATTCAAATATTTACAAATTTTTTTATAAGTTTATTCTCAATAAATTCAATTATTTTCAGAAATAATAAAACTCATCGCAGAATTTCAATTATTTTTAATACAATTTTAATGGAATTTCTTAAAAAATGTAACTATTCTAAAAAATTTTATTTACTACAAATCTTTATAAGAATTAAGTTTTAAGAAACATTCAATTAAATAATTTAGTTTTGTATTTAAATAATTGAGTTCTCATAGAATTTTCTAATAAAAATTTGATTTGAAAATGAATTTTAATTTAAATTTTAGATAATTATTATTGTCTAAAATTTTTTTTTATTTCTATTTATTTGTTTATTTATTATTATTTATTTTTTTGAATTTGATCAAAAAATATAAAGAAAATAATTGAATTTCTTCGAAGAATTTTTTTATTTATAAAAATAATTGATTCTCGCGAATCAATTTTAAAATTAATGTATTGAAAATCATTGAATTTCTGCAATGAATTTGACAATTTATAAAAAGAATTAAAATGTTTCGAAGAATTTATTAAAATTTTAGAAAATAATTGAATTTCATGGAAATATTTAAAAATATTTGATTTCTTCTGCGGGATTCTATTAAAATTTTGTTTTTGAAAATAATTGATTTCTTGCAAATAATTTTACGATTTATAAAAATAATTGAATTCGTGCAAATTTTGGAAAATAATTGAATTTGTACAAAAATTTTACTATTTGTAAAGTAATTGAATTTTTTCGAAGGATTTATCATCTTTCGCGAAATTTTATTGAAAGTAATTGAATTTTTTCAAAGATTTTACTATTTAAAAAAATAATTGAATATTGTTTAGAAGGATTTATTAAAATTTTAGAAAATAATTGAATTCGTTTGAAATTTTATTAAAATTTTGTTAAAAATAATTGAATATTTAAAAAAAAAAATTGTACTATTTATGAAAATAATTGAATTCCAAATTTATTATTTATATAAATTGAATTCTTGCGAAGAATTTTATTAATATTTTTGAAATCAATAAACAGGAATAATTAATTAGTAAATAAGTTAATAAGTGAATTTTTTAAATGTTGTTTACAAAAGTATTTAAAAATTTATATTTGAAAATAAAAAATATTGTAAGTTGCATTTGCTGGTGTTATTATAAAACATGAAGACATCGATCACTCCAAGTTGAAGACTCGGAGTAATCGACTTCTTCATGTTTTATAACATCTTCTTCAAAATTATTTTCATCATTTTAATTCAATTTTTATTTTCTACAAAAATAAATATTTTTTAACAGTCGAGTAGCATTTTTGAAAATTTCAAAATGGCGGAAGCAATATGGCGGATAATTTTTGGTTTTTTTTTCATTATTAAACCAATTTTTTTCTAGAGAAGGGAGAAAATAAAAAATTTTAAGAGAATATCTAAAGAAATCTGTTGAAAAAAAAAATCCTAAAAATTTTTGAAAGATTAAGAAAAGAATAATAAGAGAAAATTTTTTTTCAGTTTGGTCTTCGTCAATTGGATCTTTCATTGCTGTCGCAATTGTGGTCGTTGAACGAATCGATACAAGAGTTTCGTCAACTTTTACAAGAGCAAGAGGATCGAGCGCCATCGCCGTCGCCTAGCAGTGAGGATGGCGATGATAATATTTATGGACCTCATTCACGAAGACCAGCGCCAGCTCTACATCATCACAGACCTCCGAGACCACCGAGACCTCCGAAACCACCTCCCAGTGACGAATCTCCGTCCAGTGAAGAATATGGAGCCGTTTGATTCCTATTTTTTTCTACGTCCACTCAAATATAATTCTCCAAAATTTGCCAAATAGAAAACAAATAATAAAATAAAATAATAAAAAGATCACTCGTGGACCTGGAGGAGAAATACGTTTCTTCATTAGTACTTAAATACTGTCCAATTGTTATTGGATTGATCTCAATCGAGTGAGCTTAAAAAAAAATTAAGAGTCGATGTTTCTCTTCAATCCCATTGTTTCGAATTTTTTTTTTTTATCAAAAATCGAATATTTAATATTTTGTTAATCAAAGTAAATAATTTTTTAATTCTTCCATTCTTCTGTATTTTTTAAATTTTTTTCGTTAACATTATTCTTCGAAATTCAATTATTTTTAGGAATTTTAATAAAATTCTTCGCAAAATTCAATTATATTTATAAATAACCAAAACTCATGACAAGAATTCAATTATTTTTAAAAGTATTAGAATTCTTCTCCTAAATTCAATTATTTTCAAAAATTTTAATAAAATCCTTCGCAAAATTCAATTGTTTTTAAAAATTTTAATAAAATTATTCTCCGAAATTCAATTATTTATGAAAATTTTAATGCAATTCCTTGCAAAATTCAATTATTTTCATAAATAACCAAAATTTATCACAAGAATTCAATTATTTTTAAAACTATTAGAATTATTTTCCGAAGTTCAAGTATTTTTGAAAATTTTAATAAAATTCTTCGCAAAATTCAATTATTTTCATAAATAGACAAAATTCATCACAAGAATTCAATTATTTTCAAAAGTATTAAAATTATTCTTCGAAATTCAATTATTTTCAAAAATTTTAATAAAATTCTTCGCAAAATTCATTTATTTTTAAAAATTTTAATAAAATTATTCTTCGAAATTCAATTATTTATGAAAATTTTAATGAAATTCTTTGCAAAATTCAATTATTGTTATAAATAGCCAAAATTCCTCACAAGAATTCAATTATTTTTAAAAGTATTAGAATTATTCTCCAAAGTTCAAGTATTTTTCAAAATTTTAATAAAATTCTATGCAAACATTCAATTATTTCCATAAATAATAATATTTTCACAGAATTTTAATTATTTAAATCACAATTTTTATACAATTTTCCGAAAAAAATCAATTATTTAAAAAGATTTTGATAAAAGTCTTCGCTGAAATTCAATTGTTTAAAAAAAAAGTAATGAAGTTCTTCGCAAGAATTCAAAAATTTTTTTTAATAATTAAAATCTTCGCAAGAATTCAATTATTTTTAAAAATAATAAAAGTCTTCGCAAGAATTTAATTATTTTAAAAAATTTTAATAAAATTCGTTGCATGAATTCAATTATTTTTATAAATAATAAAACTCATCGCAGAATTTCAATTATTTTTAAAACAATGTTAATTAAATTCCGCGAAAAATGCAACTATTCTTAAAAATTTTAATAAAATTCTTTGAAAGAATTCAATTATTTTCAAAAATAATAACAATTTTTACAAGAATTTAATTATTTAAAACACAGTTTTCATAAAATTTTTTGAAAAAATCATTATAATTATAATTTGCTTCTTAGAGTATAATAAATATTTTCAATTCATTTTTAATTACATTTCTTGAATGAATTATATTATTTTTGAAAATTTAAATAAAATTCTTTGCAAAATTCAATTATTTTTAAGAATTTCAATAAAATTGATGAGAACATTTTTATTTTAAATACAAAAATATGGAATGGAAAATTCATTTTTTGGAAAACTAATTTTTTATTAAATTTAATACAAAAGAAATTAATGAGAAAATTTTATTTGGAAATACAAAAATATGGAAAGGAAAATTCATTCTTTATTAAATTTATTACAAAAAAAATATTTTTTGTGTAATAAATGGAAATTATTGAAAAAACGAATTTTATTTAAAAAAGAATGGAAAAATTAAAATTTGAACTGGAAGAAATAAAAGTTGAATTATAAATATCAAATTCGAATGGAATTTAAAAGAGGGATTTAACATTTTTTTTGGAAACAATTTTGAATAATCGGATTGAAGAGGAACATCGATAAATATACAGAATGGCCGAGAAAAATTTATAAACAACTAAATTTTTTTATTAAATAAAAATTTGTAATTGACGAATATGTATTTGCTTAGGAAAATATTTAAAATACACGAAAGAGTTCCTGCAAAGTTAAAAGAAAAAACAACTGTGCCTGTATATCTTTTGTTTACTACAATTCTACAAAAAAATACCGATCACTAAATTATTCAGTGATTCAATAAATAGTTGTAAATATTTTTCAATAGTACAAAATAATAAATAAGCCAATATTGCTTTTTTTCTAAATAAATTTTTCTGAAAAAATTTCCAGAAAAATATAATTGAAACCAACTTGAAATAGTATGGAATTTAAAATTTATTTGGAAACTATGAATTTTCCAAAAACAATTCAAAATAAAAGTACCTACAATTTTTATTTGTGAAAATATTCTTTTTTTTACAAAAAAATATTTTTTGTGAAAATGTGAACGTGTAAATAAGGGAAAAAAAAGACTTTTTGAGATAATTGGTAATAAATAATACGAATTGGCTATTAAATTCGGTCATTCTGGTAATTAAAAAAAAAAATTTTACGATAAATTCGTTTGATTAAAATCGAACGATATGGCTAGTGAGTTCCAAAGAAGTCTCCTAAGATTTCTTCCTTCTTCTAATGACGCTGTTAATCCTGATCTGTGTACTTTACAGACTGTGTTTGCGTCAATTTCCGTCAATTGTTAACAGAGCGATTTTTTTGCGTGTAAGTGATATAATTAACAAACAAACAAAAAATGAAAATAAAAATAATGAAAAAAAAAAATACTTAACGTTATTGAAAAATAATTTAATGAAATGATAATAATTTTAAGGGAATTTCTCAAGTAAAATATACATCGATCCTTCACCAAATAATAGCATTGCCCTGTTCAACGTTACGGGCTGGCCATACTTTATTTGAAAAGCGCATTAATATTTTCCAAATTATTTCAATATTTATTTCTTCTCTTTTTCAAAATTTATGGTAAATGAAATAGTAAATAAATTTTTCACTCGAAAATTATGTTTGCTGTGAGAAATAAGTCAGACTAATTATTATTTAATAATTGTAATATTTAATAATAATTAATTATTATTTAATACACCCAGAAAGAAATTTTACTTGACTCAAATAAAATATATTTGGTTTAAATAAAATTTTTCTTTGGGTTAATAAATAACGAGATTATTTATTTGTTTTTAATAAAAATTTCATTCGACATAAATAAAACATATATTTGAGACAAGTAAAATTTTATTTAAACGAAATAAAATTTTTTTTCAAACAAATAAAGAGTCAAGTTGGTTCTGAGTCAAATACATATTTTCTCTGGGTGTAATTATTTAATAATAATTAGTAATTATTATTTAAAAATTATTTAATAATAATCAGTAATTATTATTGAATAGACAAGTAATTTTGTCAAAACGTTTAGAGAATACTGAAAAAAATGAATTCAATTTTATAGAAAATTGACAAATAAATATTATAAGTCCTTAAGAAAAAAATTTGAAAAATATTCATGTGCTTCCATTTGTTGTTACGAGTACAGAATTGTAAAATATCGTTCTTTATATCGCGCTAGGGTTGCAGGAATTAAAAAATCGAAAAGGGTGTAGATATTAATACTATTCTCTAAGACTTAGAATCTAGCAATTCATATGAATTGTATATTTGATATATATTTCATGAAAAAACAAAGATTGGATGTAATTATTTATTTTTTTCTGTTTTTTATTCCCAGCGTACAAGAATTGAAGATTGATAAGAAAAAAGTTTTTAAGACTTTTATAAAGTATGCTACTTCCTTTTTTTATTAGTTTCTCTCTTAATTTCACTAATTGTTGTCGAAAAGAAAAAAAAATATGTAAAATACATTTAATTAAATAGAAAAAACAATTTTTTTGTGAACACGATTTATTATTCAATAAAGAAAACGAATTATTAATTTGTCAATAAATTAATTGATGATTCATTTATTAATTTGTGAATTAATTAATTATTAATTTATTAATTTGTCAATTAATTAATTAAATAAATTCATAATTCATTTTTTTTTTGTTATTCTTGTTTCCAGTTCAGGTAAAATTCAATTCGATAAAATGTATCCTTTTTTTACCATTCTGCGAATTTTTATCAAAAATTAACTGTATTTTATAATTTCTTTTGTAATTAAGAAGAAATTTTCTGTTGTAAATAACAAATTTTTTATTTTCTGATTTAGGCTCAATGAAAAATAGGAAAAAATAGCGTTATGGTGAACGATAAAATAAACTTTTTTCCAAGAAATTTGTAGTCTTTTATTCTCCACCGCTCTTTTAATTCAATTTATGCAAAATGAAATTTTTCTTAAATTTTTCTTAAGAATGCAATTATTTTTATAAATAATAAAATTCTGCTCAGATATTAAATTATTTTTTAAAATTTTAAATAAATTTCGCGAAAAATGCAACTATTCTTAAAAATTTTTAATAAAACTCTTTGAAAAAATTCAATTATTTTCAAAAATTTGTAATGAAATTCTTTATAATAACTAAATTGTTTTCAATATAGTTTTAATAAAAATTTTTGAAAGAATTCAATTTTATTTTCATAAATAATATATACAATTTTTAAAGAAATTCAATTATTTAAAATACAATTTTCATGAAATTTTTAGAAAAAAATCATTTAATCATTTGAAAAACAATTTTCAGAAAAGTTTTTCGAAAGAATTTAATTATTTAAAATATTTTAATAAAATTCTTTGAAAGAAATTAATTATTTTCTTAAATTTGGATAAAATTTGTTAATAAGAATTCAATTATTTGAAATACAATTTCTAAAAAAATATTTTTCGCAAGAATTCAATTATTTTTATAAATAATAACATTTTTCTCAGGAATTGAATTATTTTTAAAAATTTTAATAGGTAATAATCGAATTCAATTATTTTTATAAATATTATAACTCAGCGCAAGAATTCAAATATTTTTAACAATAATAAGTCTTCTCAAGAATTCAATTATTTTTAAAAATTTTAATAAAATTCTTCCAAACGATTCAATTCTTTTCAAAAATGTCTCAAAATTCAATTATTTTCAATTTCTACTATGTATTTTAATAAAAAATTTTCTAAAAGAATTCAATTCTTTAAAAAAGGTTTCAAAATTCTTTGCAAACATTCAATTATTTCCATAAATAATAATATTTTCACAGAATTTTAATTATTTAAATCACAATTTTTATACAATTTTCCAAAAAAAATCAATTATTTAAAAAGATTTTGATAAAAGTCTTCGCTGAAATTGAATTGTTTAAAAAAAATGTAATAAAGTTCTTCGCAAGAATTCAATTATTTTTTTTAAATAATTAAAATCTTCGCAAGAATTCAATTGTTTTTAAAAATAATAAAAGTCTTCGCAAGAATTCAATTATTTAAAAAAAATTTAATAAAATTCGTTGCAAGAATTCAATTATTTTTATAAATAATAAAACTCATCGCAGAATTTCAATTATTTTTAAAACAATTTTAATTAAATTCCGCGAAAAATGCAACTATTCTTAAAAATTTTAATAAAATTCTTTATGAAAGAATTCAATTATTTAAAAAAATTTTAAAGAAATTCTTTATAATAATTGAATTGTTTTGAATATAATTTTAATAAATTTTTTGAAAGAATTCAATTATTTTCATAAATAATAACAATTTTTACAAGAATTTAATTATTTAAAACACAGTTTTTATAAAATTTTTTGAAAAAAATCATTATAATTATAATTTGCTTCTTAGAGTGTAATAAATATTTTCAATTCATTTTTAATTACATTTTTTGAATGAATTTAATTATTAACAAAAATTTTAATGCAATTCTTCGTAAAAATTCAATTATTTTAAAAAATGTTGATAAAGTTCGTTATAAGAATTCATATTTAAGAAATATTTGCAATTTTTCAATAAATTTTTTTTCGTATTTAAATAATTGAATTCTTGTAGAAATTTCTAATAAGAATTGATTTAATTGATTTAAAATTGAATAAAATAAAATGATTAAAGTTTTGAATAATTTTATTATTTCAAGAAAAAAATGATTGAATTTTGAAAAAAATTACTTTTGTAATTTTTAGAAATAGTTAAATTTTAAAAATGCGTTGCATTGAAATCATTTGAAATATTTTAATTTCTGTAGACAAAATAAATCTTAGGTATTTAAATATTTTATTGAAAAATTATTCTATTTTTGAATGTAATTAAGAAATTATAAAAAAAATTGAGTCGTCAAGTTTAATTCTTCGATAGCTAGTTTTTTTACTAATTTTTTTCTGTCTTAAAGCTACTTTTTGATATTTTTTTAAAATTAAGAGTACGAAGGCGAATTTTACCATAAAAGTGATTACTTTCTAGACACTTACTGAATTTTAAAAAAAGTTGCCCAAAAAGTAAAAAACAATCAAATTTGTTAATTTATGTTTTATGGATTTTTTTTCAAAATTCAGCAAGTGTCTAGAAAGTAATCACTCTTTAAAGGTGAAGGTAATTTCCGGTCAAAAAAAAAAATTCTGTTTCTTTTTTTTTTTCATTTTTTCATTCACAATTTTCTGTGAGTAGTGAAAAGTATTGACGACGACGTCGTCGTCGGAAGTCAAAAAGCTTATATTTACGGGAACAAGGAGACTTGGAATATAGTGGCAGGAGTCCAACCTGAGTCTCAAAAATAGACATGAAGACTATACGAGTCTGCCGCTTCTAGAACCCATCAGTATCGTGAAGACCAAGAGTTATGAATGTGAGTGTAATATTCTTCCATTAAGTATCGCGAAAATTTATTTCTGCGAACCGTCGATGATAATAATAATAGCAATTTTTATAATAATACAAAAGAAGATAATTAGTAAAATAATATACGTCTGACTTATCATTTACTTGTACTACTGAAAATAGAAGATTACTAAAAATAACAGAAATAATAATAAATATTAATAATATTAATAATATTAATAACATTTAAATAAAAGAACTTAAAATCATTCTGTTTGGTAAAATCGATTAAATAATATTAATAATAATAAATATGTAAATTAATTTTTCATCGACTGCATTAAAAATATCTTAAAATATAAAAGTTTCACCGTGCATTACAAATCGAGTGTAATAAAAAAAATTGTGGATATTTTTAAACGAATGAAAAATAAATAGTGTTAGTGCTACAAACATTATCTGGGAATTTAATTTAAAAATTTAAATATGGTTTTTAAAAAAATTTGTTCGAATTAATTTCAAACATTATAAAATTTATGACTAAAGAATCGAGAATACAATGTTTTACCTTTTTGCTACAACTTTCGTGGTTTCTTTTTTAGAATATTCAAAATTAGAAACGAAAGTAAAGAGAAATGTGATTGATAGACACTTGTTTGGCTCATCGCTGTTCTGAACTAAAATTATTATTAGTGTTGTAAAAATTCCTTTAATTTTAATTTTATTTACTTATTTATTATTTACTTTATTTACTTTATTTATTTATTTTATTTATTTATTAAAAATTTATTTAGTATATTTTTTCTTGAGAAGTAGATTTTATTTTTATTCGAGTATAATTGACGGAATTAAGCAATTGTTTATAAGCGTCTAGCGGCGGTAAAAAGTCAAAAGGAAAAAAAAACCACTAATGCATCCACGCTACGGCCTAGACTAGACAAGCTAATCATGGTCTGTCCAATGGTACTAAAAAGTCTGGCTGAGCTTAAAATAGATGGACTATTCGATTTCTAACTATAAATTTTACAACATCGAGACACAATGTTTTTGAAATTTTAATAAAATATTTTTTATACACTAAGCTCGGGTGAAAGAAGCGATTCTAAATAATATTTTTCATTCTCCGATGTATTAAAATCAAACTGATTGCAAACAACGAATTAAATTTTATTTCACTGTTTTTATTTATTTATTTAATATTTATGTTATTATTTACCATTTCTCTAATAATTTATTCAATTTATTCAACAATTTCTTGATACTTTCGAATAAATTCAATTTCCATTTTTTTTTGTGTTCAAAATTAAGTTTCGAGTTGATAAAATAATTATAAAAAAGATGAAAGAATTCAATTTACATTTTTTTGTGATTCAAAATTAAGTTTCGAGTTTGATAAAATAATTGACATTGTAAGTAATTTTAAAAAAGAAAGAAGCTGAAAGAATTCAATTTCCATTCTTTTTGTGTTCAATATTAAGATTTGAGTTGATAAAATAATTGAAATTATTTTTAAATAATTTTAAAAAAGAAAGAAATTTATTAAACTGAAAAATTTCTTTATAATTCTAATTTCAAAGTGTAAAATACATACATTTCAGCAGAATTTAGTGTTAAAGTGGAAGAATGTAGGAAGAGTAAAAGTGGCACTATTTTAGTATCAAGCGTAAGACAATTTGATGTGATCATCAAACGAAGTGACTAAGCTACACGCGCTTAAAGCATATTTCAAAGATTATTGAACTGCACAATAAAATAGAATTTATTAATTACTGTAATAATAACAAATTTTTTTACTTAAAAATGATCAATAATTAATTATTATTTTTTTTTAATTATTATGACGATTATAGTAGGGGAATGTAGTCACTCGCGTTTTTTTGTCAAGTTCACTAGCGCCACCTACGCGCATTTTTGTCGAAGCTTGTCTTAGTGAAACCTAACTTTTTGTTCAATTACATTTTCGGAAAATCGAAAATTGTGTTTTCTGTGACGTCGGTACAAAAAAAGCTCAAAAAAAGTTTTGTGCATAATGTGAAAAACCATTAATAAAAGATAAAAAACAAATTGAATCGTCAAGGCAAGTATGCAGAAAATTTGTGGGACTCATGGTTGAAAGGAAAACAAAGTAAAAAATCGAATCCCGAAACGTATTTCTTTATGGTTACAACAATTCGGTAATGTTACTTACTGTCAAGGTCGGCCACTATGTGTTTAAAATGCGCAAAGTTGAGGACGAGCTACTTCATTTGCAAAAACTGCAATTCTGTATAACTCATAATATAATTGATCATCTTATTAATATTTTTATTTAATTTTATTAATATTTTAGTGCAAAACTTTTTTTTATTTATATTTATTTTTTTATATTGTTTATTGTTATTATTTTGTTATTTCATTAAGTTACAAACTGTAAACAATAAAGAATCAATTTTCCGTAACTCCAAACATGTTATTTTATTTTTTAACGATTAATGCCCTTTGAATTTTAAACATGGCCGACCTTGACTGTAATGGCCAACCTGGACTACAAATTTTTTTTTTTTTAAATCTTTATAACTTTTTCATTTTTAAACCTGTCAATTTACTTTGTACAGAAAAAATGTTCCTATTAAACAGGACTTTCCAACCATATACTTCAATTGTCCAAATTCATTTTTAAAAAAAAGTTATAAACAAAAGTCAAAAAGGTGGCCGACCTAGACTATGTTCCCCTAATTTTTAATATTATTTTTTCAGTAGTATAAGTAAATTATTAGTCAGACGTATATTATTATTTTTATTATTATTATTATTATTATTATTATTATTATTATTATTATTATTATTATTATTATTATTATTATTATTATTATTATTATTATTATTATTATTATTATTATTATTATTATTATTATTATTATTATTATCATTAGTAATTATTAATATCATTTTTTCAGTAGTATAAGTAAATTATTAGTCAGTCGTAAATTCAATTATTTTCATAAATAAAAAAATTCTTCGCAAAAAATTAAAATAATTTCATAAATAATAAAATTCTTCAAAGGAATCCAATTATTTTCATAAAAAATAAAATGTTTCCAAAGAATTCAATAACTTTTAAAAATATTTCTTAAATTAAATTATTTTCACAAATTTTAATAACAATTCAATTATTTTCAACAATTCTGATATAAAATTCTTCGAAACAATTTAATTTTTTTTATAAATTGTAAAAATTCTTGCCAAGAATTAAATTTTTTTCAATACAATTTTTTACATTTTCTCGAAAGAATTGAATTATTTTCATAAAATAGTAAAATTCTTCAAAGGAATACAATCATTTTAATAAATAATAAAATTCTTTGAAGAAATTCAATTATTTTCATAAATAATAAAATTCTTTGAAGAAATTCAATTATTTTCATAAATAATAAAATAAATTCTTTGAAGGAATTCAATTATTTTCATAAATAATAAAATTCTTCGAAGGAATTTAATTATTTTAAAATTTTTTGATAAATGCTTTGCAAGAATTCATAATGATTTTCAGTACATTAATTTTAAAATAGAAAACATTTAAAAAGGAAAATTATTTTAAAAGTTAGGAAACAAAAAAGCAAACCAAAAACTATCTCTATAAATCTGAATTAGTAGAAAGTTACTAATGAAATGGTGAAAAGTCGTCCACCAAATGATTTAGTAATATATTACTAACAAATAGTAAATTTTACTAATTGATTAGTAGAATTCTACTAACAATTAGTAGAACTGTTTTATTAATAGTCGATAAAACAGTCTTACTAATTCATTTAGTGAAATGAGTGACTTTCAATTAGTGAATTTCTACTAAAATATTAGTAAAATTTTACTAAGAATTAGTAATATTCTACTAATTAAAAAGGGGAAAAGTCGTCCATGAAAACTATTAAAAATTAGTCAAATTTTACTATTTCTTAGTAGAATTCTACTAATTCAGATTTAGAGAGATAACTTCAAACTGCAAACAGATTACAGGAATACAACGATTATTAATTATAGATTATTATTAATCTCATATTTTCAGTAGTATAAGTACATTATTAGTCAGACGTAAATTACTATTTTTTTACTTATTATTATTATTATTATTATTATTATTATTATTATTATTATTAGTAATTATTAATATCATTTTTTTAGTAGTATAAGTAAATTATTAGTCAGACGTAAATGATTTTTTTTTCTTATTATATTTTTACTTATTATTATTAAAATTATTATTATTATTATTATTAGTAATTATTAATATCGTTTTTCAGTAGTATAAGTAAACTATTAGTCAGACGTTTATTATTAGTTTTTTTTAATATTATAATTATTATAATTATTATTATTACTATTCTTATTATTATATTAATATTTTAACATTATCTTTTCAGTAGTATAAGTAAATTATTAGTCAGACGTATATTATTAATTCTATTATTATTGCTTTATTTAATATTAAAACTTAGAAATAATAAGTGTCAATTTAATATTAATATCAAAATTATTATTTCGAGTAGGTAATCAAAATAATTTTCTGAAAGTGTGTTCTCCAAAATTAATTTAAAAATAGTTATTTTTATAGTATTTATAGTTTTTTTGACAGTTCATCAACATTAAAATTTTTACAGAATTTCAGTACAGAAAAATGGCGACCAATGGTCATTTCAAATCCATCATCACGATTACGAGTCGCACGTTCAATGCCACATTGGGTGCTGGTAGTAAAATTACTTTAATATAATTTAAAATGCTAATAAATAATTTACTTCATTAATTAACAAAACAGTTTTTCTGCGGTTATCAAATTGAGACAAAAAACGAATCAAAAGTGTTGCGTCGCAACACTTTTAATTCATTTTTTGTCTCAATTTTAAAAGTGTTTTCTTTTTAAAAAGCGTTGATTCGTTTTTGTCTCAATTTTAATACACTGAAAAAAAATTTAATTGATTAAAAAAAAACCGAATAATTGACTATTATCAATTAAATATTTACTTGAATTAAATAATATTTATTAGAGTCAATTAATTTTTAAGTATCAAGAAGCAATAATTAAGTTATCAAGAAGATTATTATTAATTAATCAAGTATATAAATAAACTACTTTATTTGCAGGCGCAACAACAAAAAGATGAAGAAAAAGCAAAGAATGAACCACCTCCGATTCCCAAAATTCCTCCACCTTCATTGACAGGAGACTGTGGCGATCCTGATTATGAGGTTATCGAATTTCCACCAAGACCACCAAATAACAAAATGATACCATCCAAAAATACACCATCAAATACACAGATTATGAGAAATAGTAATAATAATATTAACAACAACAACAACAACAATAACAATATCTCGAAAAGTATTATCTTTGGAAAATGTGCCCTATGTGGTACACCGAAAGTCACAATAAGATGTGACTTATGTAGAGAAAATTATTGCGACGTATGTGATGAGATGAATCATAAGCATCCGAAGAGAAAAAATCATAATAGACGAAGACTTGAAATGGATGGAGCGGGTCGAGTGAAACCACCACTTCCGCCAAAGGGAGAAAATTCAATGAATCCACCACCTGTTCCGCCACCACGACGAAATCGTAGAAACACACAGGTAGGGTGCGCTGTAATTTAAAACACATAAACAATTATTTACTATTCTCCATTATTATCAAAAAAATTCTACTATTCATTATGTTCAATTTTTATCATTCTATTTATTGTTCTATTTATTATTCAAACTATTATTCTATTTATTATTCAATTTATTATTCTATTATTCCATTTATTATTCTGTTATTTATTGTTCAAAATTTATTGTTCCAGTATTTATTCTACTAATAATATTATTTATAATATTATCTATTAATTATTCTATTGATTATTCTATCGATTTTTCTATTAATTATTCTATTGATTATTCTATTGATTATTCTATCGATTTTTCTATTAATTATTCTATTGATTATTCTATTTATTATTCTATTGATTATTCTATTGATTATTCTATTAATTATTCTATTGACTATTCTATTGATTATTCTATTTATTATTCTATTGATTATTATATTAATTATTCTATTGACTATTCTATTAATTATTCTATGAATTATTTGATCAATTATTCTGTTATTTATTATTCAACAAAATTAGAAATGTCAAATTATATTTTATAAAAATTTAGAATTAAAAAAAAATTACGCAATAGGGCTGTGATAAAGCCAACAATTTGAGAATTTAATTGTTTAATAAACGAGTCATTCGACAAATAAATATTGTTGAAATTTTCCCGCCACACCTCCAGAGAATTGAAGAAAAAAAATATACCTTCCTTAGTACCCTAATAATTACTAAACTAATTTAGTAATTAACTATAATTACCATCTTTTGAAAATCATAAAATTACTAATTTCACACCGAGGTTTTCATTCATTTTTTTTAACTTTTTCTTTTCAACTTGGAAACGATAGTAAAAAATCGCAGCCCTATATTTATCGCAGAATAGAAAAGAATTCTTTTTAGAAAATATGATACTAATTATATATTGTCGATAAAGAAATTGTAATGAAGTAACATTTACAATTACTTTTAACTAATTTTTATAGAAATATAAACAAATATAAAATTATAAATATAAGCTATTATTAAAATTATATTATAATATAAGCTTATAAATATAAGCTTATACGAATATAAACTAAAAATTACCATATTGTGAACCATAGTAGGAATTGTAGTTTCCACTCGCTTAAATTTGTTAGTAAATTTCAAGTTTCGCGCCTAGGTAAAAACAATAATAAATCAAGGGGCTGCAAATTTTCCCCTCTCGATTGATAAAGCAGCAAGTTTAAAACGAAACTCGATCAATGCAACGAGACCACTGCCATCGATTCCAGATTGTCAGTCATCGAAAAGTCCACTTTTGACGCAAACATTAAATATGACTTCATCTGGAACTGATAAAATGTCAACCCTTCAGGTGCGTTCCTCATTTCTTCACTATACTTTCACTTTTCTTCACTACACTGTTTTGAACTTAAAACTATCAAATTGCAACGAATTGATACCAAAAAATAATTTTATCTCAATTTTTGGTATTCACTGTGATCCAATTAGATCAATTTTCGTCTCAATTTGATATTCTAAAAAAACCATGCGAATGAAGATTAAAGATTTAATTAGTTATTTTTAATATTAACAAAAGTTGAAAAATTCGATAGGAAAGGTATAGAAGATATCAGGAGGCAATGCGAGCCCAGGACACAAATAGACGAAGACCAACTCATTCGGATTCATCGAGAGATACCATGAGTCCAAAACCAATGAGTGTTGGCAGCCCTAGACACAGTTTAACATCATCTCCATCATTACCAGTCAGAAATATCATACAATCGTCCAGTGTTTGTGATCTATCGGCCCCCAATATGTGGAACTCGGAAATGCATCAAGTAAACTAGAATAATATTACCAAAAACCAAAATAAAAAAATGATACCTAATAAATAAACTATTGTATTTTTAGGCCCAATCTTTAGCACACTTGGCATCGCCGATGATTTGGTATCCAACCGGAAATCCCTGGGAGCCAGCATTGAGTGGCTCGACAATGAGTCTAAATCACATGCCCATGTGGGGTTATCCAATGGGTTATCCTCAACCACAAATGCTACTTCATCACAATCCCGCAACACTGTCAAGATCACACAGTCCTGCCCGAAGTGTGAAATCGAGCAGAAGATCCAGACAAGCCTCTCCATCGCCAAGTGTAAAATCGCGAAAATCATCGTCCTATAGGTCGAGAAGAAGAATGTCACCTAGTGCGCCCTCCGATGCGAGTTCGGAAAATTCTGATGAATCTGACTTTGACGACAGACTATCGAGAGGTTCGCGTAGGAAAATACATGAAAATTCCCGACCTAGAGTTAAATCGACTTGTAATGATGATAGAGGGAAATTTTTGCTATCAAGACAACGAAGAGAGTAAGTATTCACTTTTTTACACCTTTCTTCACCTTTCTTCATCGTTTACCAAAATAAATATAAGTTTTCTTCATCACCTTTCTTTATTTTACTCTTTTCTTCTCCTTTCTTCATCGTTTACTAAAAGAAATATAAGTAATCACCTTTCTTCATCGTTTACTAAAAGAAATATAAAAAATTTTCCCCTATCTAGCGGCTGGCGATCCGAAGATCGAATCAACAGCGCCGATGACGGATGGTCGGACAAACTATCAAAGCACAATTGGAGCTCCTCATCGAGAAATTTAAAAGACACGCGAAGATCATCTAAACAAAGATACGAGAATCACGAGGACTCACCAAAATTCAGAACATCGTCATCAGTACAAGAGGATGAATCGTCTAGTAATCAACGCGAAACGAGACGTAATAATCCAAATATCACAGACGATAGAATCCACCGAAGAAGTTACAATCGAAGACGATCGAAAATCACCAGTTCCTCCGAAGACTACGACCGTAATGAACGATTCTCCGAACACCAAAAATTCAAAGAACTCGAAAATAGACTAAATCCAGTAAAGTTGATCCAAAGATCCACGTCACTAGATCGTGAACCACTGAAGAAAGAAGAAAAATCAGAAAATCGTACAAACACCACTAATGAGCCACTGAAGAAAGAACAGGTAAAATTGGAAAAGCGACCAAACACCATCAGAACCAGAACACCAGACAGAAATCTCCCAAGGGAGGAAGTTCTTCAAAACAAAATTCCCCTACAAAATGGTTCGAAAATAATAGAAGAGAAGAAAGAGAGTGAAGAAAATAAAAAACTCGATAATACAGAAAAGATCAAAAAACCGCAACAACTCGATGGGGAAGAAAAGGAAAAATTGACAGAAATCAAAAAGGAAGAGGAAAAAAATAAGGGGGCAAAAGTGAACGAAAAATGGTCCTGTGAGCATTGTACGTTCATTAACGAAGCAAAGGAACGTGTTTGCGTTGTCTGCTGTAAAACACGAAGCAGTGCACTACCGCCTCCTTCTATTTCACCGATACCCGAAGCGACAAGTGAATCACTTGTCAATTTAGCATCGAACGAAAAAATTAATTCATCCCCAAGTAGAGAGAACAAAACGAGTATTGAAGAGAACTTGACAAATTTGAAATTATCCGCAAATGATGACAACACCGCTAATGTCAGTACACCCAAGAAAAAAGGTAGACTCAGAAGAAAAATTAGTTTTTCCTTCGGCACTAAGTCATCAAAGTAGCTTTTTCTATTTTACCCCATCCAATTCACTTGGAATTCTTTTTTTTCCTTTAATCATTACACCTAGAGGAAAGATTATCTCTAAATCTGAATTAGTAGAATTCTATTCTAACAAATAGCTAAATTTTACTAATTTTTAGTAGTTTTCATAGACTTTTCCCCTCTTTAATTAGTAGAAGTAGTACTAAATTAGTACCTTTCTTATTAAAAATTAATAATTAATAAATTTAACACATAAAATTTACTTGAAACAAATAAAATTTATTAGCACCAAATAAAATTTACTTGAAACAAATAAAATTTATTAGCACCAAATAAAATTTATTTGATACAAATAAAAAGTCTAGTTGACTCTGAATCAAATATATCTTTATTCTGGGTGTAATGTAGATTAGAAAAATCATTTCAAAATCAGGCTTCTTCGTTTGCCATTGAAGAAAAAAAAAACGATTTTCTTAGAACTTTTATATGGCAAAATACTCTTCAATACTTATATTATATGAGGAGCTACACTGATTATATCAGTATTAATGGAGACATTTTATTTTTACTGTATTTCTGATTTATATTTAAAACAATATAATTATATTTAAAAGTAATTATTATATTTAAGAAAAAGGAGAGATATTTAAGTACCTATATAATTATAATATCTTCATAAAGTGAAAATTTTTTTTATGGATCCGGATGCCTTGTTCGTAGAGACAATTAATAAGAATACTTATCTCATTATAATAAAAATGTACTCCTTGAATGAATAATAAATTGGCATTTGCATTCTCAAATTATCATAATCACAACAAATGCATAATCGTACTTGAAAATTGATATTTTCTTTTTAAAATTAAAATTTTCTTTTCAAAATAAAATAATTATTTATTAATAAAAAATCCTATTAATAATTCTAATAATAATGCGGGAATATCATCATCATCAAGAACAAAATTTCGAAAGAAGTTTCTAATAATAATAATAATAATAATAATAATAATAATAATAATAATAATAATAATAATAATAATAATAATAATAATAATAATAATAATAATAATAATAATAATAATAATAATAATAATAATAATAATAATAATAATAACAATATTATTATTAATTATACAATATATATAATATTGTTAATTATATTATTATTATTATTATTATTATTATTATTATTATTATTATTATTATTATTATTATTATTATTATTATTATTATTATTATTACTATTATTATTAATATAATATTATTACTATTGCAATTATTATTATTATTATTAATTGTTAATTGTTAATTATTATTCATTCAAGTAGTTACACTCGCGTTTCAAGGACGGTTGTGCATTTGTTCAATCCTCTTTGAATTGTCATAAACCAAAAATTATGATTAATATTGTTTTCCTGCACTGTTTGACTACATTCCCACACTGCTTAATACCGCGCATGTGCACTAGGGTGCGATTATGTAATTTCACTTCATTTTCACTTCATTTTTACTTCACTTTCACTTCACTTCATTTTTACTTCATTTCCACTTTCACTTCAAATTCACTTCATTTTCACTTTACTTTTACTTCATTTTCACTTTCACCTTCACTTCATTTTTACTTCATTTACACTTTCACTTCAAATTCACTCGATATTCACTTCACTTTCACTTCATTTTCACTTTACTTTCACTTCACTTCAAATTCACTCGATATTCACTTCACTTTCACTTCATTTTCACTTTACTTTCACTTCACTTCAAATTCACTCGATATTCAATTCCCTTTCACTTCACTTTTATTTCATTTTCACTTTCACTTCAAATTCAGCCGATATTCAATTCTCTTCAACTTCATTTTCACGATATTAATCAAGTGAAGTGAATATGAAATGTGAAGTGAGAATAAAAGAAAAGTGAAAATAAAGTGAAAGGGAATTGAATATCGAGTGAATTTGAAGTGAAAGTATAAACTTTCCTCATATTCGATAAATACTAAAAAATATTGTTTTTTCCTGTCATACAAAAAATTTACACCGTCAATCAATGTGTTATTTATTTTTATCTATTTTGATGTTTTGGCCTTTAATATTTTTTCCCGAGCTACCCTAATAATAAAAAAAGAAAAGAGTTGAAAAAATATTCAGTAGAATAGAGTGACAGTTGTTATAAAAGTTTTCGAATTCATAGCTTTATTATACTCAATGTTCAAAAATTACAGAAACAATCCACAACATTGAGATAAATATTACCATTTTTTGTAGAAAAGAAACTTTTTCACTGACCAGAAAATCAGTTTAATTTGACTTACAGGTATTGAAGTTCAAACAGAGAGTACAGACTGCACTGACGGCAGAACAGAAAAAATAGCGATTGAAAACAATAATAGTCATGATAATTCAAAAAATTCATCATTATCATCACCATTATCGTCATCATCATCATCATCAAAGAACAAAATTTCAAAAGAAGTTTCCCAAAATTCAAAAAATCAAATTTCAACTGTCAATTCTAATGAAGAGACAATTATTAATTTAGAAATGATAATCGATAGCTTGAGAAAAGACAATGCAAATGACAATGAAAAAGACGAAAGTTCGGAAAAATTCGAACAAATTATGGAGGAGGAAGAAGAAGAAGAAAGTGAAAATATCGATGCAATTGTTGATGGAGGAAGAACAGTTTCAACGGGAACGTCTCCACCACCACAGGACATGTCAACACAGGTATTTTTTTCTGCAAATATTTCAAAAATATGAATTTCCTTTCTAAAAACTATTTTTCTTTTCTACAGACCTATGAGGAAACTGTTTTTAAAGACAGCAAAAGCAATCTAAAGTCTGGGAGTTTTTCGAAAAATTCCGTTCAGTATGATGACAATGACTCTGAGGTACAACTTAATATATAAGTTAATAAAATATAAAGCTACGCTTAAAGCATTCGGTAAACAATATTATAGAGTGTACAGAAACAAAACATTAGTTTAGTATATAATAAACAATTTTTGAAAAAATAAAGAGCTTCTAAAATAAAATTAATAAAGTGCTTAGAGTGCTTACTTGCAGCCTCGGGGCGCAAAATAAAAGCTTTCTTTTCTTCCTTAAAACAAGACAATCTATACAACGAGATAAATAGAAAAAAAAATTTTTTGTTTCCAAAAAAATTTTCTTTTTACCCAAAATTACATATTTTGTTTTGCTTTTTTGAACCAAAGATTCAATCTATCGACTACAATATTCGATAGAAAGAAATAATGTGTGTAAGCTTTTTTCAGGACAACAGATTTAGCAACAATGACCCTTATGTTCGCCATCATCAAAATAATACTTATCAATCTTTATTGTACGGAAGAGATCGAATTCCATCAAGTGTAGGGAATCCTCCTCATCTACAGTATTATTATATGGTAAAATTATTCGATTCGCTTGAAGTGGAAACTTTTTTGTTCTGTTCTCCTTAAACAAAGAAGCTAACGCTTAGTTTTTAATTTTTATGTTCAGCCTTCCTCGGTGTGAAAATTTATAACTTTCAATAAACAATAATTCCCTTCCCCTGCCAATGAACCTAAAATTAATTAGCTTGTTTGCAAAACTATATGTACAATAAAAATGTATAATGTACGATGATAATTGTTATTAATAACTTTGCAATAGAATTTCTAAAATTAGAATAATATACTAACAATTTTATGGTAATTTAAAAATTTTTTCATTTCAGGAACCAAATCAGTCACTATTTAGCGATTCTGGTGGTATGTCAACAATGAGTCGTCAAGGTTTGGAAATTGTTCAATTGTTACGTGAAGCTGAGAAACGTGGTTTTTCTACTGATGATGTTCAGGTTGCTTTAGCGCAAGATGAACAAAATCCACTTGAATGGTTGACAACGCAATGGCCACATCTAGTGGAAACAGTGCAAGTTTTGGCCTCAACACAGGGTCAGGATCAAACGGAAAATTGTGTTAGAAATCTCTCAACGATTGAAGCTAAAATTGCATTGAGATTGTCGAAAGGCGAAGTTTGGAATGCTGTTGGTCATGCCATACAACTCCGCCAACATAAGGTAGGACTCTTCTTTTTTAATTCTTAATGATTGTTTGTTTACTTTGTTACAAATGTTACCTTTTTGTTTCACAAATGGTTTGTTACAAGCAACATTTCTTGATTTTTAGTGCCACAATATTATGTCCAAGGGGTCTTTTATCCTAATGGATGTTGTCAATTCACTCAACAAGAATGGAGGAAATGAGGAAGTAGCACTTCTCGAATTACAAAAGACTCAACTAAAACCTTTCCTGATGAGAATTTGGGGTCCATCCGCAGGTGTGGAAAATGAGGATATTGCAAATCATCACGGTTAGTTCTTACTTGAAATGCAGAAAAGCTATCAAATCTACAGCGTAATTAAAAATAGAAACAACAAAATACAAAAATACAGCCATAGTTTTTCTGCAGATATCAAATTGAGATTTCTGTATTTTTCAGAAGCAAAAATTTGTTCGTCAAGTGATTCGGAAGGAAGTACTAAACATGTTGAGGATGAATCGGACTCTGAAGCTAAGAAGCAGGTAATGTCTCCAAAAGTAGAAGGTTTCATGGCGTTGCAGGCAGACTTTCATCAGCAAATAGTTACCCAACATCAAGGGAATGGTAATTGGGAACTCAAAAAAGAACCACTGAATACAACTAACGACAGTTTTAGTTTGCCAAACAGTTTGGATACCCCAACCGACAGTTGTGACCAAATGGATGAAAAAATACCCAAACATTCTGATTATACTGATCGAAATTTTATCTCTCAATTACAGGATCATTCATTAATTGAAAAATCGAATCATTCGCAAGCACAAATCATTTCTAATCCTTGTCAATCAGTAACTAAAGGTATAAAAACTAAAGATGGTACACAAGTAGCTAAAGATGGTACACAAGTAACTAAAGATGATAGACAAGTAACTAAAGATGGTACACAAGTAACAAAAGATAGAAGACAAGTAACTAAAACTAGTAGACAAGTATCTAAAGATGGTACACAAGTAACTAAAGATAATAAACAAGTAACTAAAAATAGTAGACAAGTAACTAAAGATAGCACACAAGCTACTAATAGTAATTTAAAAGATTCATCGCCAATATACGCAAACATTCTCCAAATGAATCAAGCAAAATCCAAAGTAGACACTTCAGGCAAACAATCATCTACAAAAATTAATACTAACGTTGAGTCTGAAATAGTTTCCAATCCCCTCGTAATTGATAAACAGTTATCTAACGCTGAAGTAGTGAATAAGAAAGAAATGCCAATAAACAAAAATTTGAAGGCAGATAAATTGAAGACAAAGTCAAAATATCCGAAGCAAACAATGATGGACATTACTGTAGAAACTTCTTCCGAAGAAAGAAGGGGAGCAAATAAAAAATCTGAACTTATGGTAAATACTCCAATTCCGCACGTAGAGGTTTTTGCAAAAATTGATGAAAGTTCAGGTCAGACTAGTGTTACTACTCAGTATTATTCGAATTCCGATGATAAAACGACAGTAAATGTTGATCCGAAGACAGACATGAATATTACCAAAACTTCCCAAGCCAGTATAGTATTAAATCATTCTTCCAACAGAAAACTAGATTCAAAGAAAAATTCTGATAAAAATTGCCTTCAAACAGTAACATGCAAATCCAATTCACGAGAATATGAAAGTCCTTCTAAAGATTCATCAATTCAATTTAAGACCAGTGAAACAAATGCTACAATTATTTCTACAAACACCAAAGAACCTAATTCTGAAATTCATACAAATTCAAAAGAAATCCCTACAGATTCAAAAGAAATTCCTACAAATCCAAAAGAAGCTGATGAAACTTTTCATTTCTCTGAAACAAATTCATCTGCTAATAGTTTTATTTTAGAAGCACCATTAAATTTAGAAGACAAAGAGGAGAACCGTAAGCTTAAAACAAGTTCATTCTTCACAATTTTAACAAATTTTGCGGACAAGAAGAAACAAATTGTAACTAACACTTCTGATGGGGAACAAAAATTTAAATCATCGTTGTCTGTTAAAATTAGTGATAACGAAAGTAGAAAGACAGTTGCGGGAACATCTTTGAATAATGATGGTATTGCTAATGAAAATGTTCATGCAACTGTTGGTGCTGTTTCTACTACTGATACTTTTACTAATACTTCAACTGCTACTGCGAATGGTACTGCTGATACTAATGCTACTGATGGTTTAACAAATGCAGGAACTGCTAAAAATGGTGTGGCAACTACAGATGCTACAAATTCTACTGCTACTGCTGCTTCTACTTTTATTTTTACTTCTACTGCTACTATTGCTACCACTACTAATGCTGGTGCTGCAAATATAGCTGCTAGAAATGCTGTAGCAACTGCAGCTGCAACAACTTCTATTTCTACTGCTGCTGTCATAAATTCTAAAAATTCTGTAGCAACTACAGATGCTAGATCTTCTATTGCTGCTAAAAATCCTGTAGCAACTACAGATGCTACAACTTCTGCTGCTGCTACTACTACTACCATCACTACTGATGCTAAAAATGCTGTAGCTACTACAGCTGCTACAACTTTTATTTCTACTGCTGCTGCTATCATTACTAATGCTGCTGATAAATTAACTGCTACAACAACTACTACTGCTTTAACAACTAATATTAATCATAAAATTAGTAGTAGTGAAATTAATACTGCTACTATTAATGCTGACACCTCTGCTGCTATTGCTGAAACTACTACTACTACTACTACTACTGCTTCAAATACTAATAATATTAATAAAATTAATACTTGTGAAACTACTACAACCGCCACTAATGCTGATACATCTACAGCTACTACGAAAACAACTTCTACTGCTGTTGAAACCATTTCTACTGCTGTTGCAACCACTTTTACTGATGTTTCAACAACTTCTACTGATGCTCCAACTACTACTCCTTCAAATACATCTAATACTACTAATAATATTAACAAAATTAGCAGTAGTACTACCGAAAACAAGAATACCTCATCTACTTCAAACTCAATTCTCCACGAAAGTAACAAAAACGAAAGAATAAATGATCTCATGCCAAAAACATTGGAGCAAAATAAAAAATCCGTAAGTGAATGCACTTTAAACAAACCCGCTTGTCCAATTAACAAACAATTAACAACTTTAAACAAAAAAGAACAATCCTTTTTGGTGAAAACATCAGAATCTTTAGCTACAATCGTTAAGGAATCAATCTCACATTCAAATGTTCATACAAATAAAAATTATTTTAAAAAGAAAAATAATACCACTAATTTTAATTTCATACGTAGAAAAAATTTATTAACAGATAATGATCAAAATAAACAGGAAAAAACTCGAAAATTATCACAATATCAACAGACAAAAAAATCCTCATACCATCCTGTATCCACAAATTCCAAAATTACGGTCACTAAAGCAAGATCAAAATCACCAGTTAAAAAAATTCTTGGACGAAGATCGCCTATTAAATCAAGAAAATTAAATCTACAGAAAAAATGTGATGTGTTAAAAAAACAGACGTCAGAGACATTGAATCAAAAGGACAAAAGATTGAAAATATCTAGAATTCCTATTGCGGAGACATCAACAGTTCGTAACGATATTCAAGATGAAATTAGTGAAAGTAATTTGAAAATTATTAAGAAGAATCAAAAAACAAAAACTTATCATATTACGTTAGATAGAACAAATGAGTCAATGGATAATTTAAAACAGTTGGAGAAGAATTGTACGAAAACAATTTTACCATCAAAAATTCCTGTAATGAGAGGATGTAAACGTATTCCTGCACAAAATATTTCGGTGGTAATTCAAAAACAAATTGATCCTAAAATTTCCACACCATGTTCCGTGTTTCCCGAACAATCAATGCAAAAGAGAATTAAGGGACATCAAATTTGTGCAAATTTTTTTGAACCAAAATTCGTTATAAATGATCTTTCAAATACAAAGGTGGGTAAAAATGAACATCAAAAGGTAGTTGAAAGTAATGATCAAATTGAGAAAGAAACAAAAGATGATGATAAGAGAAATCCGTCACCAGTCGAATCGATCACTGATTCTGGAAATTCTGAATATGAGTCAATTTCAGAAGCATCTTTGAGCATAAATTCGAGAAATAAATGCAAAGAAGAAGAGGTTCAATCTGGGAATTTAGAATTTGTTTTGGATAAGGAAATAGGGGAAGAGAGTAAAGAAGAAAAGAGGGAAGAAAATGAGGAAGAAAGTCCAAAGTGTTCCGAAGATGTACAGGAAAAATTTCTTGAAGAAGCAGAAGAAGAGAACGAAGCAGTTTATGAAGAATCTTGCGCGGAAAATTTCGAAGACTTTCTAGAAATTGAAGAAAGTGGAGAAATTGAAAAGAGTAAGGAAGATCGGCAGAGGAATCTAAATGATAAGAAGATGGGAGAAAAGCAACAATGTTCTCAAACAAGTAATGAAGATTTACAAGAAGATTCGCAAAAATATTTAAGAGATAATTCGCAAGATGTCATACAAGATGATTTCCCAGAAGATTTACAAGAAGCTTCACGAAAAGATTTACAAGAAGCTCCACAAAAAGTTTTACAAGAAGCTTTACAAAAAGATTTACAAGAAGCTCCACAAAAAGTTTTACAAGAAGCTTCACAAAAAGATTTACAAGAAGCTTCACAAAAAGGTTTACAAGCTTCACAAAAAGTTTTACAAGAAGCTTCACGAAAAGATTTACAAGAAGCTCCACAAAAAGTTTTACAAGAAGCTTCACAAAAAGATTTACAAGCTCCACAAAAAGTTTTACAAGAAGCTTCACAAAAAGGTTTACAAGCTCCACAAAAAGTTTTACAAGAAGCTTCACAAGAAGATTCAAAAGATTCACAAGAAATTTTCCAAGATGATTTCGAAGAAGATTTACTTCTAGAAACTCTAGAGAAAGAAGAATTCTACGAACAGTCATCCTCAGAAAATTCTGATTACTTTCAAAATTCCGAAGATTCTGAAAAAAGTACTTCGAATGATCAACAAAGTTATTCCAATGCTGAAGAAAGGGATGAAAATCAACAACACTCTGAAACATCTAATGAAGATTTACAAGAAGATTTTCTTCAGGAAGCACTGGAGAATGAAGAATCGTCATCAGAAAATTCCGACGACTTTCAAAAATCCGAAGAATTACGCAAAGTTTCCAAAGAACATCACTTAAAAAAGAATCTGCAAGAAAATCATCAAATTTGTCCCGAAGACTCACAAGAAGATTCTTTCGAAGAAACACCAGATAAAGAAGAATTCTCCAACGAAGAATCCTCTAAAGAAGAATTCTCCAAAGAAGAATTCTCCAAAGAAGAATATTCCGAAGAATCATTCACAGAAAAATCCCTCACATCATCACTAAATGACGAATCAGTGAATTCAAACAATTCCCACAATTCCCTCGACATACTAGCAAACGCCGATTATCTTCTCGAAAAAACCCTGGAAAAAATAAAAGCCGAAATATCCGAATATGAAGAGGGCAACAGATCAAATTACGAAAATTCCTCGGCGGAAATAAATAAATCAACTACAACCATACAAGAGACCATACAAACTGATCAAAGAGATGAAAATTCTCCCTTCGAAGAAATTGACGAACTATCAACAGTGACAACGGCAAAATTATATCTACTCGAGAATATTGATCGTGAAAGTGAAGATAATCCAAAAACACTTGACGCAATAACACAAAAGAGCAATATTCTCAAAAATCAAAAAACAGACAGTCGGCAATATTCAACTGAAGGAATTGAAAAAAATGATAAACTAAAGAAGAAATATTCAATGGTCGCAAGTTTTGTTCAACAATTTGAAGGAAAAAGTCCAAAATTAACGAGAAGGAAAAAAAGTGCCGTCAAGGAATCTAGACAAAGGAAGAATATCAACAAGGAGTCTCCCATTGTCGAAAGGGAGGTCAGTAACAAAAAAAACAAAAAAAAAAAAAAAAATTGTCGAGTGCCAAGAAATATGTCTGTCAATATCGTCAAATTTACAATATTTGTCTGACAAACCAATGTCTACAAAGAGCTTGATAAAATTCAAAGATTTTTTTTATTCACTTTTTTATTTACTTCTTTCTTCACTGTAACATTCATTGTCATTACTAATCATAGAATTAAGAATCAGATAAAATGAAGAATTTTCTAAATTTAGCGTCGATGCTGAACGTCGAAAAAACATTTTTTTTGCACCAAATGGAAAAGAAGAAAACAAGACGCTGAGCGTCGACGCTAAAGAATTCTTCCAAAGAATCGAAAAGTAAAATAAAAAATATTAAGTCAAATTAAAATAGTGTGCATGAAATATTTATTTCAGAATAGAAGAAAATTAATCCTGTATTCCAATCGGGGGTCGATTCTGTAACTTCATTTTCAGTTCACTCCACTTTCACTTCACTTTCGCCTCATTCTCATTCTTTATTTTCACTCTTTCTTCACTTCACTCTTTCTTCAATTTCACTCTTTCTTCACTTTCACTCTCTCTTCACTTTCACTCTTTCTTCACTTTCACTCTTTCTTCAATTTCACTCTTTCTTCACTTTCACTCTTTCTTCACTTTCATTTTATTTTTGTTGAATTTAACTTTATTTATATTTAAAATTTTTTTAAAATTTTGAAGATAAGTTAAATTCAATAAAATTAAAGTGAAGTAAAAGTGAAGTGAAAATAAAGTGAAAGTGAAATGTAAGTAAAATGAAAGTGGAGTGAGAGTGAAGTGAAAGTTATACGAAAGTAAAGTAAAAATGAAAGTGAAATGAATGTAAAGTGAAAGTAAAGTTAAAGTAAAGTGAAAGTAAAGTTAAAGTAAAGTGAAAGTGAAGAAAGAGTGAAGTGAAGTTAAAGTGAAAGTGAAGAAAGAGTGAAGTGAAGTTACAGAATCGCACCCCCAGCTCATTTATAGACGTTGGTGTGTTCGTTTATTATCAAAAATAAAAAGCGTAACAATAAATGTAGTTTTAGTTTATTAATCGTAATTAAAACAAGAATCCAGTTTCTTACCCCTTGAAAATGTTCATTTTAACACCAATGTTTTTTTCACCCCAATAATAAAAAAATAAAAATTTTTAAATTTCCTCTATTCGAATTATTGAATAATGTGAAAATATTTTCTTTACAGAGAGTTGCTCGTCAATTATTAGCAGAGGGACGTGTCTCGAATTATAATGAAGCTGAAATTGCGGCAACATTACTGTCACTTAAATTTGGAGACACTGAGTCAGTTCTTGCAGCAAAGGAATGCTCAAATGTTGAGTCAGCATTAGCTTTCTTGCAACAGGAATGCGAATTGTGTACCAGTCGCGTTTCAATGAACGAGGTTCGAATTTATTTTTCCTCACTTTTACTAAATTATTTTTCAATTTTTTTTTTAATCTTCTCTGAATATTTTTTTTAAATTTTGTTTTAATATTTTTTATTTTTCTTCACATAGATGGTATCGATGCTTAAATGCACTCATCGTTGTTGCAACGATTGCGCCAAAAATTACTTTACAATACAAATAAGTGATCGAAGCATAACGGACGCAGTGTGTCCATATTGTAAGGAACCGGATTTAATTAATGCAACCGAGGATGAAATCTTAGAGTATTTCAGTATTTTGGACATACAACTGAAATCGTTCCTTGATCCTCCAATTCATGAATTATTTCAACGAAAACTCAGAGACAGAACTTTAATGAAAGATCCAAATTTTAAGTGGTGCGTTCAGGTAATTTATAAATCAGTTTAATCTAAACTACATTTTTAAAAAAATATAATTCTAACACTAAAAAATCTAAAAAAGTTTAAACAAATGAAGAAACGTTTGGAAATTTTCTTTTCTTTTTAGTGTTCAAGTGGTTTTTACGCAGACCAAAATCAAAAGCGGTTAACTTGTCCAGACTGTCGATCGATTACGTGTGCTGTTTGCCGAAGACCAGTAAGAATAATTTCAAAAAAGTATATTAAAAAAATTAGTGAATTTACGAAAGCGTTCGATTGATAGAAAGAGTTCGTAACGTCCCCTCTTCTTTCTCTCTCTAGAGCCGCATGCGCATGAACGACTCGGCGCATGCGCTAAGAGGGGACGTTAGATCTTTTTCTATTCACTTGATGCGTTTTAAGACCTTTCGCGTCCTCTTTAAAAATACAAAACTTTGCATTTATTTATTTACAAACTTACATAAATTAAAAATTAAAATTTTCTAAAAAAAATCCTAGTGGGAAAAACAACACGAGGGAATAAATTGTAACCAATTCGCTGAGTGGAAGGACAAAAATGATCCGGACAATCAGGAAGCTGGTCTTGCTAAACATTTAGCAGACAATGGAATCGATTGTCCGAATTGCAAATTTAAATATTCTTTGTCCCGAGGCGGTGAGTAGTAACAAAAATAATTTAATTCTTACCTCTCAGTTCCCATTTCTTTCCTGTAAAAAAAAAGGTTCTAAATTAGAGCTGATTTCGGTATTAAAATTAAAATTCACATTTTTTAAACACATAATAAAGCTTGAAAGAGTCACAATTTTTAAACATGCACTAAAGTTGAAAAAGTCACCCTTTTGAACTCAGAATAAAGCAAAAAAATGACACATTTTTTTAACATGTAAAAAAGCAGAAAAAGTCCTAATTTTTGAACAATAAAATAATAAAGTCGAAAAACTGAAATTACAGGATGTATGCATTTTACTTGTAACCAATGCAAATACGAATTTTGTTGCGGCTGTGGAAAGGCTTTCGTAATGGGGGCGAAATGTGACGTCAGTGTGTATTGTGCCAAATTGGGACTACACGCGCATCATCCGCGAAATTGTTTATTTTACCTTCGTGACAAGGAACCGGAACAATTGCAACAATTGCTGAAGGAAAGTGGCATTGAATTCAATACCAATGGACCAATTGGTGAACGTAAATGCAAAGTGCAACTTCAAAAAGAAACACCAACGGAATTGGTTGACACCACTTGTAATTCGGACGTTATTGATGGTCATGCTGGCTTATGCAGGTAATTTTTTGTATTTTACAGAATTTATATTAATTTTCTCTTCCTATTACTCTCTATTACTCTCTTTGGAGAACAAACACTGCTAACAAAAATTGAGGGTCCAGATCAAAGATAAACGTTTTTGAGACTTAAAATTCAAGACTTAAAAAACTGTGTCACCTTCGGAATTAAAGTAATTAATCGATCTACTCTTCAAATCAGAACTAAATTCTGAATTATTATATTATTATATTATTCAGGATTCCTACAGAAATCCGAATTTAAAATTCCATACATTTTCCATGATTTCCAGGTCAAATTTTTACGAAATTCCAGTGGAATTTTAAATCTAATTTCAATATTTTTGGGCTCTTTAAAAACACTTTACTTATTTAATAGTCTCCACCCTTTGGTAAAAATTCTAAAATTATCAAAATTTATCAAAAATTTGAAAAACCGAATTTCTTAAAATTTCTTAAAATTTTCAAAATTTATCAAAAATTCAAAAAACCGAATTTCTTAGAATTCAACATTTTTTCTTCTTTTTTATGGCATTTAGCTTCAATATTTTTGTGCTCCTGAAAAATACTTTACTTATTTTGATTACTCCACCCTTTGGTAAAAAATCTAAAATTTTCAAAAATTATCAAAAATTCAAAAAACCGAATTTTTTAGAATTCAACATTTTTTGTTGTTTTTTATGGCATTTAGCTTCAATATTTTTGTGCTCTTGAAAAATACTTTACTTATTTAAAAATCTTTACCCTTTGGTAAAAAATCTAAAATTTTCAAAAATTATCAAAAATTCAAAAAACCGAATTTCTTAGAATTCAACATTTTTTCTTCTTTTTTATGGCATTTAGCTTCAATATTTTTGTGCTCTTAAAAAATACTTTACTTATTTAAAAATCTTTACCCTTTGGTAAAAAATCTAAAATTTTCAAAAATTATCAAAAATTCAAAAAACCGAATTTCTTAAAATTCAACATTTTTTCTTCTTTTTTATGGCATTTAGCTTCAATATTTTTGTGCTCTTGAAAAATAATTTACTTATTTTGATTACTCCACCATTTGGTAAAAAATCTAAAATTTTCAAAAATTATCAAAAATTCAAAAAACCGAATTTCTTGGAATTCAACATTTTTTCTTCTTTTTTATGGCATTTAGCTTCAATATTTTTGTGCTCTTGAAAAATACTTTACTTATTTTGATTACTCCACCCTTTGGTAAAAAATCTAAAATTTTCAAAAATTATCAAAAATTCAAAAAACCGAATTTTTTAGAATTCAACATTTTTTGTTGTTTTTTATGGCATTTAGCTTCAATATTTTTGTGCTCTTGAAAAATACTTTACTTATTTAAAAATCTTTACCCTTTGGTAAAAAATCTAAAATTTTCAAAAATTATCAAAAATTCAAAAAACCGAATTTCTTAGAATTCAACATTTTTTCTTCTTTTTTATGGCATTTAGCTTCAATATTTTTGTGCTCTTAAAAAATACTTTACTTATTTAAAAATCTTTACCCTTTGGTAAAAAATCTAAAATTTTCAAAAATTATCAAAAATTCAAAAAACCGAATTTCTTAAAATTCAACATTTTTTCTTCTTTTTTATGGCATTTAGCTTCAATATTTTTGTGCTCTTGAAAAATAATTTACTTATTTTGATTACTCCACCATTTGGTAAAAAATCTAAAATTTTCAAAAATTATCAAAAATTCAAAAAACCGAATTTCTTGGAATTCAACATTTTTTCTTCTTTTTTATGGCATTTAGCTTCAATATTTTTGTGCTCTTGAAAAATACTTTACTTATTTTGATTACTCCACCCTTTGGTAAAAAATCTAAAATTTTCAAAAATTATCAAAAATTCAAAAAACCGAATTTTTTAGAATTCAACATTTTTTGTTGTTTTTTATGGCATTTAGCTTCAATATTTTTGTGCTCTTGAAAAATACTTTACTTATTTAAAAATCTTTACCCTTTGGTAAAAAATCTAAAATTTTCAAAATTTATCAAAAATTCAAAAAACCGAATTTCTTAGAATTCAACATTTTTTGTTCTTTTTTATGGCATTTAGCTTTAATATTTTTGTGCTCTTGAAAAATACTTTACTTATTTAAAAATCTTTACCCTTTGGTAAAAAATCTAAAATTTTCAAAAATTATCAAAAATTCAAAAAACCGAATTTCTTAAAATTCAACATTTTTTCTTCTTTTTTATGGCATTTAGCTTCAATATTTTTGTGCTCTTGAAAAATAATTTACTTATTTTGATTACTCCACCATTTGGTAAAAAATCTAAAATTTTCAAAAATTATCAAAAATTCAAAAAACCGAATTTCTTGGAATTCAACATTTTTTCTTCTTTTTTATGGCATTTAGCTTCAATATTTTTGTGCTCTTGAAAAATACTTTACTTATTTTGATTACTCCACCCTTTGGTAAAAAATCTAAAATTTTCAAAAATTATCAAAAATTCAAAAAACCGAATTTTTTAGAATTCAACATTTTTTGTTGTTTTTTATGGCATTTAGCTTCAATATTTTTGTGCTCTTGAAAAATACTTTACTTATTTAAAAATCTTTACCCTTTGGTAAAAAATCTAAAATTTTCAAAAATTATCAAAAATTCAAAAAACCGAATTTCTTAGAATTCAACATTTTTTCTTCTTTTTTATGGCATTTAGCTTCAATATTTTTGTGCTCTTAAAAAATACTTTACTTATTTAAAAATCTTTACCCTTTGGTAAAAAATCTAAAATTTTCAAAAATTATCAAAAATTCAAAAAACCGAATTTCTTAAAATTCAACATTTTTTCTTCTTTTTTATGGCATTTAGCTTCAATATTTTTGTGCTCTTGAAAAATACTTTACTTATTTTGATTACTCCACCCTTTGGTAAAAAATCTAAAATTTTCAAAAATTATCAAAAATTCAAAAAACCGAATTTTTTAGAATTCAACATTTTTTGTTGTTTTTTATGGCATTTAGCTTCAATATTTTTGTGCTCTTGAAAAATACTTTACTTATTTAAAAATCTTTACCCTTTGGTAAAAAATCTAAAATTTTCAAAATTTATCAAAAATTCAAAAAACCGAATTTCTTAGAATTCAACATTTTTTGTTCTTTTTTATGGCATTTAGCTTTAATATTTTTGTGCTCTTGAAAAATACTTTACTTATTTAAAAATCTTTACCCTTTGGTAAAAAATCTAAAATTTTCAAAAATTATCAAAAATTCAAAAAACCGAATTTCTTAAAATTCAACATTTTTTCTTCTTTTTTATGGCATTTAGCTTCAATATTTTTGTGCTCTTGAAAAATAATTTACTTATTTTGATTACTCCACCATTTGGTAAAAAATCTAAAATTTTCAAAAATTATCAAAAATTCAAAAAACCGAATTTCTTGGAATTCAACATTTTTTCTTCTTTTTTATGGCATTTAGCTTCAATATTTTTGTGCTCTTGAAAAATACTTTACTTATTTTGATTACTCCACCCTTTGGTAAAAAATCTAAAATTTTCAAAAATTATCAAAAATTCAAAAAACCGAATTTTTTAGAATTCAACATTTTTTGTTGTTTTTTATGGCATTTAGCTTCAATATTTTTGTGCTCTTGAAAAATACTTTACTTATTTAAAAATCTTTACCCTTTGGTAAAAAATCTAAAATTTTCAAAAATTATCAAAAATTCAAAAAACCGAATTTCTTAGAATTCAACATTTTTTCTTCTTTTTTATGGCATTTAGCTTCAATATTTTTGTGCTCTTAAAAAATACTTTACTTATTTAAAAATCTTTACCCTTTGGTAAAAAATCTAAAATTTTCAAAAATTATCAAAAATTCAAAAAACCGAATTTCTTAAAATTCAACATTTTTTCTTCTTTTTTATGGCATTTAGCTTCAATATTTTTGTGCTCTTGAAAAATAATTTACTTATTTTGATTACTCCACCATTTGGTAAAAAATCTAAAATTTTCAAAAATTATCAAAAATTCAAAAAACCGAATTCCTTAGAATTCAACATTTTTTGTTCTTTTTTATGGCATTTAGCTTTAATATTTTTGTGCTCTTGAAAAATACTTTACTTATTTAAAAATCTTTACCCTTTGATAAAAAATCTAAAATTTTCAAAATTTATCAAAAATTTGAAAAACCGAATTTCTTAAAATTTCTAAAAATTATCAAAATTTATCAAAAATTTGAAAAACCGAATTTCATAAAATTCATCATTTTTTCTTCTTTTTTATGGCAACTAGCTTCATTATTTTTGTGCTCTTGAAAAATACTTAACTTATTTTAATTACTCCACCCTTTGGTAAAAAATCTAAAATTTTCAAAAATTATCAAAAATTCGAAAAACCGAATTTCTTAGAATTCAACATTTTGTGTTCTTTTTTATCGTAATTAGCTTCAATATTTTTGTGCTCTTGAAAAATACTTTACTTATTTAAAAATCTTTACCCTTTGGTAAAAAATCTAAAATTTTCAAAATTTATCAAAAATTCAAAAAACCGAATTTCTTAGAATTCAACATTTTTTCTTCTTTTTTATGGCATTTAGCTTCAATATTTTTGTGCTCTTGAAAAATACTTTACTTATTTTGATTACTCCACCCTTTGGTAAAAAATCTAAAATTTTCAAAAATTATCAAAAATTCAAAAAACCGAATTTTTTAGAATTCAACATTTTTTGTTGTTTTTTATGGCATTTAGCTTCAATTCTTGCGAAGAGTTTTAATATTTATAAAAATAATTGAATATTTGCAAAGAATTTTATAAAATTTTTTTTAAATAATTGTATTTTTGGAGAAGAACTTTATAAAAGTCTTTTTAAATAATCGATATTTTCGAAAAATTTTATGAAAATTGAGTTTTAAATAATTGAATTCCTGTAAAAAATATTATTATTTATGGAAATAATTGAATGTTTTGCAATGAATTTTATAATTGTTTTTTAAAGAATTGAATTCATTTAGGAAATTTTATATTAAAATACATAGTAAAAATTGAAAATAATTGAATTTTGAAAGATTTTTAAAAATAATTAAAATTGTTTGAAAGACTTTTATTAAAATTCTAAGAGTAATTCCATTTTTCGATGAAATAATTTTAAATTGGATTAAAAATAATTGAAATTATGCGAAGAATTTTATTATTTTTAAAAATAATTAAATTTTTGCGAAGAATTTTATTATTTATAAAAATAATTAAATTTTTGAGAAAAATTGTATTAAAATTTTTAAAAAGAATTGAACTTCTGTGCAAAATTTTGTTATTTTTGAAAATAATTAAATTCTCCATAAGAATTTTATAAACATTGTTTTGAAAAATAAATTTTTTCGAAATATAATAAATATCACAAAAATTTTATTTTAAATAATTGAATTCTTGTGGAAAACTTTATTATTTGTCAAAATAATTGAATTTTTTGATTAATTAATTTAGAATAGTATTAAATATAATTGCAATTCTTTAATGAGTTTTATTATTTATGAAAATAATTGAATTCTTGCTTAGAATTTTATTAAAAAATTTTTTAAAAAATTGAATTTTTATGAAAAATGCCATTATTAGTAAAAGTATTTGAATTAATGTGAAGAATTGTATAAAAATTTTGTTAAATAATTGATTTCTTCGGAATTCTTTTAAAAATGCTATTCTAAATTAATTGAAATCCTGTGAAAATTTTATTATTTATGAAAATAATTGAATTTTGGATGAATTTTGTCAATTTTTTTTTTAAATGATTGAATTCTTTTGCGAAATTTTATAAAAATAAAAAAAGCCCGTGTATTTTGAATAAATAAATAAAAATACTAGATATTGAAAATAATTGAATTTTGAATATTTTTTGAAAATAATTGAATCGTTTTAAAGAATTTGATTCAAATTTTTGAGAATAGTTTTTTGATTTTATTAGCGAATTTAAAGTAGTGGAATTTAAAAAAAAAACAGAAATAGTAGCTTTTAGTGGCTGAAATTTAAATAAAGTATCCGAATAGTAGCATAACGTAAAAAAATAGTAAATAATAATGAATAGTAGATTTTAGTAGATGAGTGCAAAGCCTGTTAGCTATAAAACAATTTTGAAAAATGCCTCTATTATACACAATAATTTGCTAATACACAGGAATCATTACATCGAATATTTAGTTCGTCAAGTGCGTTCATCGCACGTGGAACCTCTAAAATTATTAAATACCGACGATCTTGAGACATGTATTCTACGTGCTGGTAAAAAATTACCGGCAAATTGGTATGGACGTGATCAGGCCGACTATGAGAGGGATTTATTGGAGGTAATTTATATTTATAGTTTCTAGAGAAAAATTAAAATGGGTACTTTTCCCCGCAGGCAGCATTACATTGAATATCTGGCGGGTCTGGTGCTCAAGGGCAAGTTGGATCCGGTCTCGATCTTTGATTTGAACGACGCTAAGCAAGAGTTGCGCCGCCGGGGAAAAGTCCCACCTACCAAGGATCAGAAAATGTCCGAACAGGATTACCTCATGGCCTGCATTCAGGTGATCTTTAAAAAAAAAAAAAAAAAAACAATCCGTTCGACACTTTCCAAATTTTTTTTTAATTATAAGAATTAATAGTATAATCCAAGCTTCGTTCAACTTTCTGATCCCTCTCAGGTTCTTTTTGATGAATTTGGGAACCGAACTCATCAAAAAGAACCAGAAAGTTGAACTTAAGCGAAGCTCTTAACTTATTACTTAACTAGAAAGTACCAAATAGCAACGAATTTGCAAATTTTGTAAAATTTGACAAACAAATTTGCCAATTAAGAAAGTTTGCTGCAAAGTTCTTAAAGAGTGTGTTTTTGAAATTTTGTTTCTGTTACAGATTGTCAGGCAGGAAATACCTTTGGAGTAGAAAAGTGATTTCGAATCCTGGACGTATCTGATGAATAATTATTTATAAATCACATCAAGTGCGACAAATATTAAGTTAGGCATTTATTACGTAGGTATGAATTAAGAATCTTCAATTGATGAGAAAATTGATTCATGAGAAAAATTTTAAATAAATATTTCACATTGTTTCTACTATAATCGTTGATTACAAATAAGTTTTATTAAATCTGTATGTTTCTGTAATTATAAAATCTGTATAATTATCTGTATCTGTAATTATAGAATCTATGTATCTATAATTATAGAATCTATAAGTAATTATAAAGTTACTGTTTGTACAATAGAAAAATATTTCTACACAATAAATCACATCTTCCACAATCATCATTTTCATCATTATCATCATCATCATCATCATCATCAATATCATCTTCATCATCATCGACATCATCTGTACTTAAACCTAATAAAGTTCTTTCAAAAAGTTCGTTAAACTATTTCTCTTCTTCGCACTGTCGCTACTCAAAATATTACTCAGTCTATCTTTATTAATTTTCTTAACTTTTCCAAGTGGCGTTATCGTTCTAACAGTTTCCTTTCTTTCCTTTTGAAGAGGAGTGGAAATTTTATTCGGCGATGCTGAATTAAATGAATCGGACAATGATATATTTAAACCGGCTGTCTTATCCTTGGTGCGCTTCTTTTTTTTCTTGCCGGATTGTAAAATTTCCGTGGTATTTAAATCGACTTTGGATGGAGATTTAATTTTAATTGGTTTATTGCGAGGTATGGTTGTATATTTTGAGCAGACGGAACATTTTATTTGCAGTTTATTCATTTTTCCACGTTGGCATTTACGTGCGAGTGATGAGCGAAATTTTGATGAACTATTGTCATTTGCATCGAGTTTGAGATTCTTTTTTGGTAATTTACTCGGTAGTAGACGATTTTTGTGCTTTACTTTCGACCAAAATGAACCGCAGTGACTGCACATTACTGAGGGTCCAAAGCAGTTGTTTGGCAGATCGAAGAATCTTTCTTGTTGTCGACAGCAATTTCTAAAAATTGGTAGACAATTTTCAAATTTTTGTTTGGTTGGATTTCACCCTCGCAGCATTGGATATTTTGGCAAGAATTCAATTATTTTTATGAATAATAAAATTCTTCGCAAAAAATCAATTATTTTTGTAAATAATAAAATTCTTCTCAAAAATTTTATTATTTTTATAAATAATTAAAATCTGGGACAGAATTCAATTATTTTTAAAAATAATAAAATTCTTTGCATAATTTCAATTATTTTTAATACAATTTTAAATTAATTCATCGAAAAATGGAATTATTCTCAAAATTTTAATAAAATTCTTTAAAACAATTTCAATTATTTTCAAATTCGACTATGTATTGTAATATAAAATTTCCTAAATGAATTCAATTCTTTAAAATATATTTATTAAATTCATTGCTAACATTCAATTATTTCTATAAATAATAATATTTTTTACAAGAATTCAATTATTTAAAATTCAATTTTCATAATATTTTTCTGAAATATCAATTATTTAAAAAGACTTCTATAAAACTGTTCTCCAAATTTTAATGAAGTTCTTTATAATAATTAAATTGTTTTCATTATAATTTTAATGAAATTCTTGGAAGGAATTCAATTATTTTCGTAAATAATAACATTTTTTACAGGAATTCAATTATTTAAAACACAATTTCCATAAAATTTTTTGAAAAAATCATTTCTTTAAAAATATATTTTTAAAATTCTTCCCAAGAATGTAATTATTTTAAAAATTTTACTAAAGTTCGGTGACAAAAATTCAATTATTTTCGTAAATAATAAAACTCATCACAGGATTTCAATTATTTTTAACATAATTTTAAATCAAGTCCTCTAAAATCGCTATTATTCTCAAAAATTTGAATAAAATTCTTCGAAAAAATTCAATTATTTAAAAAAATTTGATACAATTTGATTCTTAGAGTGTAATAATTATTTTCAATTCATTTTCAATTACATTTCTTGAATGAATTTAATTATTATCAAACATTTTAATGCAATTCTTCGTAAAAATTCAATTATTTTAAAAAATGTTGATAAAGTTCTTTATAAGAATTAAAATTTAAGAAATATTCAACTATTCAATAAATTATTTATTTTTGTCGTCATGTCTTTGTATTTAAATAATTGAATTCTCGTAGAACTTTATAATAAAAATTGATTTAGAATTGATGCCAAAAACAATTAATTTAAAAATTCCAACGACTTTGACATCCCTTTAGAAATTTGTAATTAAACTACACGTTAATTTTTACGAATTCATAATTTTTATGTTTAAAAAGATTTAAAGAAATCTTTATAGGTTATGTTTACGTCTACACGGTCTACACAAGTGAAATAAATTTAATACCATTTTCATTAATATTTATAGAGTGACATTCTTTCTATGTTATAAATTATATTAAGAAGCATACTTACACATAATAATTACGTAAATTGTTAATACTTTTGTCATTGAATTTCATTAAAAAACTTGTTACATTCCACAAGTGAGTAACGTTCTCCATTATTTATACGATTTATATACACAACAAGAAGACTGGCTTGATACAAAACACAACACACGAGACACGAGGAAAACTTGGTTTACTTGGCGCACTTGAAGCAACAATAACAAAGAATTGAACACAATGTAAAGTTATCTAACAAAAAGTTTGTCACCTTATGAATAGCAGACGAATGTTTCGCCGTTTGACCGTTACAACAACTAGTGACCTCTAGACGTAAAGTCAACTTCACACTCATCAACAAGTTAGTAGATCAAATTATTCTTTGTTTTTGTTATTGTTTCTTTGATCTAAATTACTATCGCGTCAATGTCAATTTATCGAATTTTTACTATTTTTCCCTATTTTCCAAAATTTTATTTGTAAAATTGAATTATTTAAAATTTAAGTCTAGGTGTTCTTAAATTTTATTGGATTGACCTATATTACGTGCTTGACATATACTATAGATACAACATACCCAGTACTGCTCTACCTGCTTTCCCTCACGTACAAATACTTCTGCAACAATTAAAACAAGTGAATAAAATCTTAGGTAGTACTCTTGAATCATGGTGCTTCTGCTATTGTCCCATAATCAGCTGATAAAAGATTTATAATTCAAGCTACACACGAGTTTCTTTTTTAACAAAAATTTTCATGTTTATTTTGACGCCAATGTGTATATAATAGTGAATTAGTGAGTTCTATGAAATTCAAAACGTAAATTTAATCGTGGAGTCTCCTTTGAGAATCTGTGAGGTGAGTATTTGTACATAAAATTTATTTTATTTCTCTAAATGTGCTTGTCATTTGAAATTTGAAAGTTATTGTTATGCAAAGTAACTTTGTTTATTCCTGCCTTATATTATCTCTTATACTGAAAATATGTCTCTCGACAGTTTTTTTTTTTCTTTTTTACCGAAATACAATTTTTATTCTATTTTTAATTTCAAATTTTTGTTTTTACAATTTTTCATTTGGAAATAAATTAAACAATCGATGAAAAATAAGATTTTCTTATCACATTTACACCTGCTAAATGAATATGCAAAGTGGAAATTTAAATGTTGTTTATTTCAGAGACTTGAGAAAAATGTAAATTTATATTTAGAATAATTTTTATAGTTGTATTGGTAATAGTATGAAAACTACGATGCATCAAGTATATATTATCACTTGATTGAGTAATAAACTTTAGAATATCAAATTTAATAGTGTGCAAAAAATAACTTTGTGTTGTTTTAATTTTTGAAAATTAAGACTCTTAATTACATTTTTGGGAATTTAATGTTAGGAAAATAATAAAAGATGGTATTTTAGTTATTTTTGATGAGTGAAAAAATGTGGAGATAAAATTTTTGAAATAGTTTCTCGCATCTCTCCTCAGTTCGAGTCTTCGAGATGATTTTTCTCGGGATGACGTTATGATACCTTTTTGTTGTTGTAGTAGTATCATGAATGTGCTTGTCAGCAATTTCAACTGCTAAGCGTGCAATCAAGTGCCGGAGAATATCAGGCACGTTTTTAAGTGGATATGCGTCTTTTGCCTACTTAAAATCACAAAACGATTCATAAAAACGATTTTCATATTTACTTTATACAATGAAATATTTCTATTTTTTTCTCTACAATTTTCTTAAAGAAAATACTTGACGATTATCTTTAGTGTGATGACGATTTAGATAATTTTATCACTTGATAACAATTTTTTAATCTCATATTTAAAGAAATGATTATTATTTCTCTAAGAGTGAGAGAGAAGTTTTCGTTTTATTAGAAATTTAGTTTTTAGTTTATAAAATTTATTAATACTATTAAAATAATTGTTTAGGAGTTACAACTGGATAATGGGTAACGCTGGAAGTAATCAACCTGTAGGTCATCATTCAGGTAATTCCAGTTATCATCGTCGACATAGTAAGGATCAACCTCCTCCATCCCCGAGTAAAGAAGGACAGCCATTTGTTTTCGAAAAAGCACCTAATAAGAATCTCGTTTGCCAAACATCTCACGAGGATGATGAATCCTACTTTACAAAGGTTTTTCAATTGATTGATTAAATACATTTTTATTTATTATTTATTATTATTTATTTTATTATAATTATTTTTTTTAAGATTGAACAGGGCTCGAATCAGTGAAAGTATTAAAAATTACGGACTTTAAGTACCAAAAATAAAAAATTACGGACCAATTTCTGAGAAAAATATAATCAGTCCGAGACAAATAAGAGAACATTTTACTTAAAAATGTAAATGAAATTTTTTCATAATTATAAAACATGAAGAAGTAGATCACTCCGAGTCTTCGACTCGGAGTAATTGACTTCTTTATGTTTTATAACCACTTCTTCAAAATTATTTTCATAATTTCAATTCAATTATTATTATCTAGAGTTTTAAACTAAAATTCTTCTTTAAATCAATTATTTTTAATAATTTTTGAAAAAGTTCATTGGGAATTTTTAAATTCATTTGCTTATCAAAATTGTAACTAAAATTTATTCTTAAATCAATTTTTATTAGAAAATTCTACTAGCATTCAATTATTTAAATACAAAAATAAATAATCTTTCGAAGAATTTTATTAAAATTGCTTTGGAATAATTGAATTTTTCCAGGGATTTATTTAAGATTGTATTAGAAATAATTGAAATTATGCGATGAGTTGTATTAATTATGAAAATAATTGAATTTTTGCAACGAATTTTATTAAATTTTTAAAAAATAATTGAATTTTTACGAAGAATTTTATTATTTTTAAAAATAATTGAATTTTTGCCCAGATTTTAATTGTTTTTAGAACTAATTGAATTTATATATATATATTGTTTTGCAACGAATTTTATTAAAATTTAAAAAGATAATTAAATTCCTTTGGAAAATTTTATATTAAAATTGTACATTTTTGAAAATAATTGAATAATTTGAAAGAATTTTATTAAAATTTAAAGAATAATTCTATTTTTCTAGGGACTAATTTAAACTATTGTATTAAAAATAATTGAAATTCTGCGATGATTTTTATTAGTTATGAAAATAATTGAATTTTTGCAACGAATTTTATTAAAATTTAAAAAGATAATTGAATTTCCGTGAAAACTTTTATTATTTATAAAAATAATTGAATTCTTGCGAAGACTTTTATTATTTTTAAAAATAATTGAATTCTTGCGATGAGTTTTAATATTTATAAAAATAATTGAATTTTTGCAACGAATTTTATAAAAATTTTTTTTAAATAATTGAATTTTTGCAATGAATTTTATAAATTTTTTTAAATAATTGAATGATTGAGAAGAATTTTATAAAATTCTTTTTAAATAATCGATATTTTTGGAAAAATGTTATGAAAATTGAGTTTTAAATAATAGAATTCCTGTAAAAATATTATTAGTTATGTAAATAATTGAATTTTTGGAACGAAGTTTATTAAAAAATTTTAAAATAAATGAATTCTTTCGAAGACTTTTATTATTTTTTAAAAATAATTGGATTCTTGCGAAGACTTTTATTATTTATAAAAATATTTGAGTTCTTGCGGAGAATTTTATTATTGATAAAAATAATTGAATTCTTGCGGAGAATTTTATAAAAATCTTTTTAAATAATTGATTGTTTTCCCAAAATTTTATGAAAATAGTGTTTTAAATAATTGAATTCCTGTGATAATTTTATTATTTATAAAAATAATTGAATGTTTTGCAAAGAATTTTATGAAAATTTTTTTAAATAATTGAATTCCTTTGGAAAGTTTTATATTGAAATTGAAGATAATGAAAATTAATTGACAATTTTATTGACAATTTTTTTAAATAATTGAATTCTTGCGAAGAATTTTCGTAAAATCTATTTAAATAATTGATTTTTGCGAAAAATTTTACGAAAATTGTGTTTTAAATAATTGAATTCCTGTAAAAAATATTATTTTTGAAAATAATGGAATTATTACGAAGACTTTTATAAAAATCTTTTTAAATAATTAATTTTTTAAAAAAAATTGCATGAAAATTGTGTTTTTAATAATTGAATTCCTGTAAAAAACATTATTATTTATGAAAACAATTGAATTATTTACGAAGTAATTTATACAAAATTTGTAAAGAATTAAATTTCTGTGAAATTTTTATTATTTATGAGAATAATCAAATGTTTGCGTAGAATTTTATTAAAAAATTTTTTAAGTTTACTTATTTAAGTTTTTAAGGTAATTTTTTTAAATAATTGAATTCTTTTAGAAAATTTTAGTAAAATTTTTTAAATAATTGAATTTTGGGGAAGACTTTTATTATTTATAAATATATAATTGAAATTTTGACTAGAATTTTAAAAAAATTTTGAACATAATTGAATTTCTGTGCAGAATTTTATTATTTTTGAAAATAATTGAATTTTTGCAATCATTTGTAACTTCTTAAAAATTCCCCAAATTCTATCATACAATTTACGAACTTTTCGTATTTTTTCAAACAAATTACGAACTTTACGGACGTTTTTTTTCAAAAAAACTGACTTTTACAGACTTTAATCAAATTTACAGATCTTTACGTAATTTATAGACCTAGTTCGAGCACTGGATTTAATTTTAAAACATAATTTTTCAAACTTTTTTTTAAAATTAAATTTTCTGTAATTCTCCTAATTTGTAAATTAATAGAAAGACCTACAAGATAGCAGTAATTATAAACAACGACCGCGATCAAACACCGTCTCCGAAGGCACTAAAGTTGCTGACAGCAAAGTACTGCCAACTGTTTTTAAATGGGAAGGTGGTGGTAAACAGGTTTTTATCAGTGGTACATTCACTGGTTGGAAAACACTGCCAATGGTTAAAAGTCATGGTGATTTTGTAACGATAATTGACTTACCAGAGGGTGAACATCAGTACAAGTTTTATGTTGACGGCGAATGGAGACACGATCCTGGCTTGGTAATTTCAATTTCTTTTAAATTTAATATTAATTATCACTTTTATGATTTTATTTCGATTTTATATTAAAACAAAAACTAAAAGCAATGTCTAAACAATTTTCTTTCTTCTTTTTTAGAAACTTGTGGACAATTGTATGGGTTCGAAAAATAATTTAGTGTCAGTGAGAAAATCGGACTTTGAAGTCTTCCAAGCCCTCGCAAAAGACAGTGAAGGAGTCACCAGTAGTGCCCAAACGGAATACGGTCAAGAAATTCCACCGCATAAACCATGGGAAAAATCGCCAGGACCACCGATTCTTCCTCCTCATTTATTGCAAGTTATTCTCAATAAAGATACACCTCTATCGGTAAATACCAAAAAAAATATATATTTAATATGTGACGCACTCCAAAGAAAGGTGCCCAAGAAAAATCATCAAAAAAATGTTAGATTTTTAGAGTAAAAATACAGAAAGAGAATAAATTATATTATTTAATACTATTGTTCAAGTTTGTAAATACGATTGATTTACTTTTTTATTTTAGATCCAAAATATTCAGTAAAAACTTCTTCAGGGTTAACACATAATTTCTTTTTAAATTAACTTAATTCTTAAAGAACTTTCATAAAATTTTCACTTATAAATTATTAAATAAATAATTTTACTTAAATATTTAAAAATTAATTGAATTTTAAAAAAGTTGCATTTACAATTTTCATAAATAGATCAACTTCAAAAGGTTTTAATTATAAATTTTATAAAATTTATATTTCGAATGAATTTAATTATAGAAATTTTAAAGAACTTGGATTTTTAAAAAATTTTAATAATTCAAATTCTGAAATTAGTTGCATTTTTAAAATTTTTAATTAATTATTAAAAATAATGGATTTATAGAAGAATTTTAGTAAAAAAAGATTACAAAAATTGAATTTCAGAGAAGTTACTAAATTAGAAGTTAATTAAAGTTAATGATTGCAAAAATTCATTTATTTTCAAAAACTTTTAAAAATTCGCGCAAGAATTCAATTATTTTTAAAAATAATAAATGTCTTCTCAAGAATTCAATTATTTTTAAAATTTTAATAAACTTTGTTGCAAAAATTCAATTATTTTCATAACTAATAATATTTTTACAGGAATTCAATGATTTAAAACTATTTTCATAATATTTTTGGAAAAAAATCAATTATTTAAAAAGATGTTTGTAAAATTCTCCGCAATAATTCAATTGTTTTTAAAAATAATAAAATTCTCTGCAAGAATTCAATTATTTTTTTTTATAAATAATAAAATTTTCCGCAAGAATTCAATTATTTTAAAATTTTAATAAACTTCGTTTGCAAAAATTCAATTATTTTCATAACTAATACAATTCATTGTAGAATTTCAATTATTTTTAATACAATTTTAAATAATTTGCTGGAAAAATTCAATTATTCTTAAAAAATTTTAACAAAAATCCTTTGAAAGATTATTTAGATTTTGTATTTAAAATTTAAATAATTAAATTCTCGTTGGTATTTCCGAATAAAAATTGAATTTAAAAGTAAAAATTTAGTTAAAATTTTAGATCATAATTGAATTTTAAAAAGCGGTATAGCATGAATTTTTAGAAATAATTGAATTTTGAAATGTTTTCATATTAAAAGCTTTGAAAATATGATTTTTTCATACTTATTTAACTAACAATTCTTTTGAAATTATTTCATGTTTTTATTTTCTAATTTATTTTTAATTAAAGAATTTCCAAGTAATACAAATTTCTATAAAATTGAATTGTAAACAAATGGATTTTGAAACTTCCGAAAGAACTTTGTCAAAAATTATTAAAAATAATTCGTTTAGAGCTAAGAATTTTAGTTAAGAATTCTAGAAAATAATAATTGAAATATTTAATTGAAATGATGAAAATTATTTCGAAGAAGTTAAACTGAGAAATAATTTTCTTCAATTCAAAAATAAATAGGCAACAAAAAAAATATGTTTGAATTAAATATATTGTATAATTGAATTAAACGTACCTAATTTTTATTGAATCAAACATATTGTGCATTGAATCAAAATTATTTAATTATTTAATTAAAAAATAGTTTTTTGTCAACTTTATATTATTAGAAAACATGACGATATCGATCACTCCGAGTCGAGGACTCGGAGTTATCTATATTTTCATGTTTTCTATTAATATTCTTTTGTCGAATTTCAAAAAGGTTAGAATTTAAAATTTGAAACGAAACTATTGATGTTTACGAATAATTGTACAATATTACAGAAATTCATAAAAATAAATATAATTTAGAACATTTTTTTTTTAGTATCTAATCATTTTTAGAGTGAATAAAAAAAATATTCTTTTTAGGATTTTTCTTTGGAGCGCTTCACATTTAATATTCTAAACTAATTATTAATTAGTAGTTAAATTAAAAATTCATATTTATTCGATTTTCAGTGTGAACCCACTCTTCTGCCTGAACCAAATCACGTTATGTTAAATCACCTCTATGCCCTAAGTATCAAAGACAGTGTGATGGTCCTCTCAGCTACGCACCGCTATCGCAAAAAGTACGTCACTACGTTATTGTATAAACCAATCTAAATTCCCTAAACGGAATATATATATATTTTTTTGGAAAAAAATATCGGTTTTTAAACACGAAAAAAAAACGATCTCTTTCAAACTGTGTAAATAAACTTTACACTCGTATGTACCAAATTTAACAAAGAAACAAAAAATTTAGCTGCAAAATACTATTTACGTCAATCTTGTATAAAGCACACAAGTCCAATAAATCAAAGAAAAGAATTTATATAATTTTTTTAGCAAAAAAAATGTGACGCTCCAAAAAATTAATAGCAAGCGTCATATTTAAAAATTAAATTTTCTCAAATGAAGAAAAAATAAAGAAAATAAAATTTTGTCTCTCTAATTGACAATTTAAATTGTAAATCTTGACTTGTGTGGTTTATAAAAAAATACTAATATTGCAATAATAGAAGTTAATTTTTCGAATTTTTTTTATTTTCATTTTGAATTCCAAAAAGAAAAAATGTTATTTGTCTGAAATGAAAATTTTATATAAACGTTAAAATTTTCATAAACTATATAATATATAAATATATGAAAATAGTTGTAGCCTTGAATATTTTTAATTTATATATAAATTATTATATATATATATATATATATATATATATATATATATAAATAAGAGATAAGTATTTAGACTGAATAAAGGCTACTAAATTTTTATACGTTGGAATATGACATTAAATATATTTCAATATATTTAATGAATTTTTTAACTCGACGGAGTTTTTGAAAGAAAAAAAAGAAAAATGTATAATACAGTTTTTTCCGAAAACTGAAATCTACATTTTTCTTTTCTTAAAAAAAATACCAAATATCTTTCGATTTAATATTTCTAGTAGTTATAAAATTAAAAATAAGAATAAGTCTTTTATTTTTAAGAGAAATCTTTTAAATAAATGAATTTTTTAAAAATATCAAAGTCAAAGACAAATAACATTATAGATTTTAAAATTCGAATATTATTTCTAAAATTGTTAAAAAAGGAAAAGAATTTGTTTGAGAAAGTAAAAGGAAAGAAATGTTAAATTTTACGAAAAGGGAAAAATTTGTAAAATCCAATAATTGCGCTGCAGCGTTATTTAGCTTTAGCAACAAACAACCCCAAGTTTTTGCAAAGATTATTAATATTTATTTTCTTTTCTTTTTGCCTTAAAGTACTTGCATATCTAAAAATTATGTGCTTGTTACTAAAATGAAAAAATTAAAAATTAAAAAAAATTTTTAGGTAAAATTAGAGTCTAAACTAATAATATTATGAATTTTTGGAACGTTTGTTGTACCTAAAGCGATTGTAAAATATTGTAATTATTGAGGCGAATAATGTATTTATTATAAAAGCGAAATATTTTGAATCGAGATACCTTTCAAGCAAGACTTTTGCATGTACATATAAATATTATTGTAGTCTATAGGTACTTAATATTTAGTTAGAAAACTCGCATTTAAACGTAAAAATTCGAGTAAAAAGAAAGCATATTTTCCATTCATGACTAATTCTGTTGATTTTTCAATCTATTCGAGATTTACTATAAGGTAGTTATGATGGAGATTTTTAACTTTTCTTTTTAAGTACCTGTCGATTTTTATTTGTTTTTTTTTGAAATTACTTTTTTCTAATTTGTTCCTTTATACAGTTAAACGATTTTTGTTTAATTTAATTATTTTTTTTACATTTTTAAAGTTTATATTTATAATTTCCCCACAGTTGTTTTTTGCTGTTTGTTATTTTTTTTTTTTAATTGTGAGGGAAAAAAATTGAATATTTACAAAATTATTCTTTTTTCCCTAAAAAAAAGTACTTTTTTTTCTTTAAACTACCTTAAAGTCTGTTTTCTTTGAGAGATTGTAAATAATTTCTACAGAATTCATTGTTGCCTATTTGTACAGGGTTCAATTTTTAATTATTTTTTTTTTTGTCTTTTGTGCCATAAAATATTGAGTTATTAGCCATGAAATGAAAATTTGATTTGTAATTTTTTTATTCACACCGCCGAACGTGGAATTCACGCTAAATTGTATACACAATCAGAACAAAAAAAAAACTATTTGCATAATGAAAAAAAAAATTAACACGGCCTACAAAGTTCAGGCCGTTTTCTCAATTTTAATTTATAATTCTCAATATATAGATATTGTAAAAAAGAAAAATTGCGATCTTTATTTTGGTAAAATTCTCTTTGTTTTTGAATTTTATGGTAATAGGTCAAAAAGTTTGGATGTTTTTAAAAGAAAAATTTCACGCGTAATAACACCAATTATTATAACTATTATTATTATGATTATTATTATTATTACTATTATGATTATTATAATGATTATGATTATTAATATTATTATTATTATTATTATTATTATTATTATTATTATTAACAGACAGAAGTTGATTGAGAGCAATAATCGAAATCGACAGTCTTCAACGAATAAAAAAATATGCTGCCAATGAATTTTATTAACTTTTGTTTTCATGAAAATTCTTCTTTCAGTTTCTTTCAGTGTTCCAGGGGGGTGGGAAGAGAAAAATGCATTATTTATCAGAGAGAACTCGTGGCTTTTATAAATGGAAAACCTTTGAACTCCATGACTTGTTAACTTGAAAAATTTACAATTTTCGAATCTTAGAATGCTTCTTTGTTGCTTTCTTTCATTTTTGGGTAATGCTTTTTTGTAATGCTTTCGTTATTCTTTAGAAGGAAAGAATTCGATATTTTTTTCTAAAAAGAATAATAACAGGGTGGCCACGTGTCAATAAAGTCAGTGACAAGAAAAAAAATTTTTTGTCAAAGAAATTTAGAAAATTGAAATTTTTTACGACTTATTTTCAAAAATTGCGTCTTTCTCGACTTATTTTCCAAATATTGGAACAAAATACCATATTTTTTAGTATAAAATGTAACATATTTTGATTTTTATAGTGAGAAAAATAACTATAAACAAATCTTTCAAAAATTATTTTTGAATCATTTTCTGAAGATAATTAAATTTTTCAAATATATCTATAATAAAAATCTTCTTTGAATAATTGAAATTTTCTAAAATTTAATTGAAAATAATTACTATTTTTCAAGTATTTTGTTACAATTTTTAAAAATCAACTTTTGAAGAATTTTAATTCCTTTAAACGATTCAATTATTGTTTTCACACATTTTTCAAAATTCAATTATTTTCAATATCTACTATTTTAATAAAAATTTTCCAACGGAATTCCATTATTTTTTTATGGTCATAGGTATTTTTAATTAAAATTCTTCAAAAAACTTTATTAATTTTTATTTATATTTCTCAAAAAATTCAATTATGACTGTGAATCGAATAAGTTAGCAAACTTAACATTTTAAATTTTTGAAAATAATTAAATTAATCGAGGAATTTAAGTGGAATTGTATTGAAAAAAATAATTTAACTTTTTGTAAAGAATTTTCTCAAAGTTTTTCTAGAAAATTTTTTATTTATGAAAATAATTAAATTTTTCGTGAAGAATTTTTTTACTTATGAAAATAATTGAATTTTTGTGTAGAATTTTATTATTTATGTAAATAATTATAATCCGGCGATTTTAACATTAACATTTTAATTTTAAATTCCGATTTTATAGTGTAAAGAATAATAACGTTGCTTTTTCACATGTTTCATTATTTATTTTTGACGATTTTATTTATTTTGGATTTTTTGACTTTGGACATTTTTATTTTGGACTTTTTTTCTTGGATTTTTCGGTCTGGATTTTTTGGATTGAATTTTTTGTGCTGTAATAATTTTTTTATTATAATTTTTTGAAAATATACCTTAATAACTTAAGAGAAAACATGGAGATTTGCAATTACTATAAAAAGATTGAGTTTTTGTATTTAAATAATTGAATTCTAGAAGAAATTTCCTAAAATTCAACTTTCATATTTTTCTGTAGAAAGAATTTTGTCAGGGAAAATAATTTTAATGGGAAATTGGGAAATTGATAAACTGATACTTGTGACAACCCTGAATATAGGAGAAAAAATCTTTTAGTCTACAAATGATTGTCAATTTCTTCGGAGTATGCGAAAGGAGGTTCACTTCTGGTTTTCAAAAAATAAGAACCCGTGGCTGATTTATCGACATGTTCGCCCATGAAAACGGTTGATTTGCTTACACAATTTTTATTAACGTACGCATCCCATGTGTCACATTGAGTAGCGAGTAGACCATTTCTGGTATTAATACTCTCGGTGAAATACGAATACGATCTTCCGTGACTGCAAGCCTCTGAAAATTTTGTTAATTTGTAATTTTTCTTTTAATTTCTGAATTTTTCTTGTTTTTAATTTTTTGTATTTGAAAAAAAGCATTTTCTTTTGTATTTTTCGATTTGAGGAAAAAAAAGCAAAGAATTACCGAGTAATTCAGGAATACAGCAACATCCGGGTTGCACTGCTGTTCCCGCATTGGGATAGAAGTCAATGTGACCTAATGGTTGCAAAAAACCTAAAACTCCACCACAGGAATGAATAACGTCGACGAAATTAGCATCGGATGGATCCAGACGTTCTTTTTCGGTGGCAAATATATGAAAACCCGGAAGTGCAGGATCGAGTCCTGTGACTCGACTAATTCTTCCGAATTTTGTCGCACTGCCTGCATTGCCCGCCACGTGTGCACCGAGTGAATGACCTAATAAAAAAATTCCAAAATTTCCATTATTTGCTTGATAATTTTGCAAAGAAAAAAAAAAAAGAAAATTGCCTCTTACCAATAAAGTGAATGTCCCTTGGACTGAGCCCAGTTTCGCTTATTAGAAAATCTATAAATTGCCCGGCATTCTGTCCAACTTGCTCTGTATTCCGCATTGGTCCGAGATAAAATGTACTCGCTGCCAAAGGTTGCCAATCGACGAGAAATACATTATAGTCACCATTTTCTAAATATGCTGAAATTAATTAATTAATTAATTAATACCTATGTTGAAAATTAAAATTCTCTTCAGTAAATATTTTTCTTTTTTTTATAAAAATTTTTTATAACCATTCTTCATTTCAACTTGACTCCCACTCAATGCGCTCGATTTCCAGCCGTGAGTGATAAATTTCGTCTTTCTCGATGGTGAATAATTTGAATTCCTCAATGCCTTCATATTATTCAAAAATAGTGGGGTTCCTTTTTCTGGATTTGCTCTACAAGAAACAATTTTTTTTTTTTTACAAAAACAAATTAAAAAACAATTTTATAACACGCTTTGCAAACGTTCAATTATTTTCATAAATAGTGAAATTTTCACAGGAATTCAATTACTTAAAACAAAAGTTTCATTAAATTTTTCGAAAAAATCAATTATTATAAAAAAAGATTTTTTTAAAATTCTCCGCAAGAATTCAATTATTATTTATATAAATAATAAGTTTTCGCAAGAATTCAATTATTTTTCAAAATAATAAAATTCTTCCCAAGAAATTAATTATTTTTATAAATAATAAAAGTTTTCGGAAGAATCTAATTATTTTTTAAAATCTTAATAAAATTCTTTGAAAAAATTCAATTATTTTCATAACTAATAAAACTCATCACAAAAATTCAGTTATTTTTAATACAATTTTAAATGAATTCCTCGAAAAATAGAATTATTCTTAAACTTTTAAGAAAATTCTTTCAAACTGTTTAATTATTTTCAAAAATGGTTAGAAATTCAATTATTTTTAAAAATAATATCTACTATTTTAATATAAATAGTCCCAAAAGAATTCAATTATTTAAAAAAATTTTTTTATAAAATTCTTTGCAAATATTTAATTATTTTCATAAATAATAAAATTTTCTCAGGAATTCAATTATTTGAAACACAATTTTCATAAAATTTTTCGAAAAAAATCAATTATTTAAAAAGATTTTTATAAAATTTTTCTCAATAATTCAATTATTTTTATAAATAATAAAATTCTACTCAGAAAAATTATTTTGAAAAAATTGAATGAAATTCGTTGCAAGAATTCAATTATTTTTATAAATAATTAAGTTCATCGCTGGATTTCAATTATTTTTAATACAATCTTTAATAAGAATTCCTCAAAAATAGAATTATTCTTAAAAATTTTAATAAAATCTTTAAAATATTTTCTTTAGTTTATATAATTTTACAAAAAAATTTTAATTGAGTTCTTTTGACGAATTTTAATAAATTTTTTAAGAATAATTACTTTTTTCTAAAAAAAAAATATTATTTATGAAAATAATTGAATTATTGCGAAAAAAAGGATAAGAAATTTTCTAAATAATTTAATTCGTGTGTAATTTTTATTATTTATGAAAATAATCGAATTATTTAATTCTTTATATAATATCATTATTATTATAATTATTATTATATATATATATATAATATATTATAATTATTATTATTATTTATAATAATAATAATTAATTATTTTATTGGAAAATTTTTTTAAAACAGTACATAATGAAAATCCATTGAATAGAGGTTTTTGAAAATAATTTAATATATGCCAAGAATTTTATTAAAGTTTTTAAAAATAATTGAATTTTGGTAAAGAATTTTATTAATTTAAAAGATAATTAAAATTTGGACGAGTTTTTTTTTTTAATTTTTGAACATAATTGAATTTCTGCGAAGAATTCTATTACTTTCGAAAATAATTAAATTCTTATAATGAAGTTTTATTATTTATGAAAATAATTGAATTTTGCAAAGAATTTTATTAAAATTCCTGCAAATAATTGAATTTTGCAAAGATTTTTACTAAAATTCCTAAAAATAATTGAATTTTGCCAAGAATTTTATTAAAATTTTTGAAAATAATTAAATTTTTTGAATTGAAAAATGCACTGTGGAGTGAGCATTTTTAGCAATTTTCAGATTCCTTTATAATTTTTAAATTCTTTCGGTCGCCATTTTGAATTTTCAAATTTTTTACCAAAGTCCCTTATGAAAAAGAAAAACTAAAACGAATTTTATTAATAAACATACCTAGTGTAAAGAATATACGAAACAGCTGAATTTATGTCCAAAATACCGCGAGTCTCATTTTGCAATTCCTTGAGAATTGCCACCTGCGGTTTATCATTTCCATCGGGCATAAATATCCAATCGACTCCATAGCCATCGTATTTCCCCTGAAGAATGCTGGTTACCTCAGCATTCGTTAAATTAATTACAATTATTAAAAGAAAAATAAATATCATCTTCTTAAGAAAATAACAATTTTCCCAAAGTTTACAGTCACGAAATGAAAACAATTTCTTGTATACATATGAAAACTAAAAAAAATTCCAGGGTTTTTATAATGTACGACAACAAGAAGTCAAGGACCCATTTTATCCCCCAAATCAGTTTTTTTGTTCATTTAAATAGTAAATATGCATACCCCTTATGGCGTGCTCCACTTTTAATTTAAATGTTTTTCTTATCTTTATGCGAAAACACTGCAAAAAAATACAGAAATTATCATCGAAGGTGTTCAGGTTTTATTTCTAATCAAGTCCAGACTGACCGTGATATTGTCTTATCAAAACGTGATTACCGTGGGTTGACTTACGACAATCATTTAAAAAAGTTTTATTCACCTGACAGGTACAGACTTCGCACTCGATAATTAATTTTAAAAAAAGTAGCTTTCAAACTAAAAAAAGTAGTAAAAAAGTAGCTATCGAAAAATTAAACTTAACAATCAAAAAAACTCGTTTTAGACAATTCACAAAACTGCGAAAAATTTCATTCTATATTTTATTTTCCTGACTTTTTCCTAATTTTTATCAAAAATATTTACTTCTTTCTTATCCTAAAATTAATTAATTTAATTAATTAATTTTTTATTTAATTTAATTAATTAATTTAATTTTAATTTAATAAAATTCTTCTCAAACGTATAAAATGTAGTAAATAGTAGATTTTAGTATAAAATTAGAAAATAAATTCTTTTTTTCCTTTTCAGAATTTCTTTATTTGTCATAGGTAAATATATATAATAATATATTTTTATTTTACCTCATTTATATTAATTTACCTCACGTAGATTATAATATACAAAATTATCAGTTCTCGAAATATTTAAATATTCTATCTTAAATACAGAACTAGGAACTTAATTAATAAAGTTTTGAAATAAGACGACATCATTTATCTCCCTTATGAGATAATTTCACATTTTTTTAAAACTTATTTATAACTTTCGTAAATTAATTTTAAAAGTCGGATATTTTTTCAGTTCTCCGCGATTTTCATTTTTTGAAGATCAAATTTTTCTTGTGGAAAAAATTTCCAAAATAACGAAAGAAAAAATTTTCCATGAAGTTGATTGAAATGAAATTAAAATTATCAATTAACCGTATGTTAAAATCATGAATACTGTCGAAAATTCGTAGGATCTTGAAGCCTTGCCTTTTCTCGGTGATAAAGTTTGTATTGTATTCTCACCGAATTCCCCATCACCAAAACCACCTGCAATTGGAATTTCGGGGAATATTTTCTTAAATACACGCATTTCCATTTTTTTATTCTCAAGACGTGCAACGCAAGAGAATATAAAACCCATTGTGAATTTTTTCAATTGTACATTCTCGCGGAGAATTTTTAATTTCTCTTCAATTTCCTCTTCGCCGTAGCATTTTTTGGGAATTATTGCTGACCACGTGTGAATTCCTGGACCCGATAATGTAACAACCGTTACTGTTGATGATTTTTTGCAAAATTTCTCTTCACTCGTTCGTTTGCAGTAAATAATGTCTTTGACAATACCGCCAATTAGAGAGAGTTTCTGTTTTGGATATCTGGAAAAAAGGAAAAGTTTTATCTTTATTGTTAAAAAAACCATATTTTCTTTTTCGGTAGGTTTAAATGTTAAATTTTCAAATGTTTAATTTTCAAATGTTAAAATTTACTTACTTGCATTTTATTGTTCGCAACATTTTTATCGCGTGCTTATAACCATCACAATCGGAGAAAACCATGATGCATTTCGATTTTTCATTACTGCCAAATTCGGAGCAACTGTGTATCCAATCGAGGACTTTTTCCTTTTCCAAATTACTTGAATCGTCCAGTGAGAATGTGTTAACTTTAACTTTCGGAATTGTTGGAAAAAATACGCAAACAGCGTCATTTTTGCCTAAGACGAGATCACTGGATATTGTCTCGCAAGTTCTTAGCATGACAGTTTCGCAGGACGTTGGTAATTGTGAACAATAGCAATCAGTGGCGGAACCTTCTGTGTGAATTAATTTTTTATTAATTAATATTATAATTCTTTCTATTTTGCTGAAAAAAAAATTAATTTAATAATATCCGGGTTGCCACAAAAATTTAATTTTCATTTTTTTTTCGAAACAATTTTTAATTAAATAGGGGAATGTAGTCAAGGTTGGCCTACTGTCTAGGTAGGCCACTCGCGTTTTTTTGTCAAGTTCACTAGCGCCACCTACGCGCATTTTTGTCGAAGCTTGTCTTAGTGAAACCTAACTTTTTGTTCAATTACATTTTCGGAAAATCGAAAATTGTGTTTTCTGTGACGTCGGTACAAAAAAAGCTCAAAAAAAGTTTTGTGCATAATGTGAAAAACCATTAATAAAAGATAAAAAACAAATTGAATCGTCAAGGCAAGTATGCAGAAAATTTGTGGGACTCATGGTTGAAAGGAAAACAAAGTAAAAAATCGAATCCCGAAACGTATTTCTTTATGGTTACAACAATTCGGTAATGCTACTTACTGTCAAGGTCGGCCACTATGTGTTTAAAATGCGCAAAGTTGAGGACGAGCTACTTCATTTGCAAAAACTGCAATTCTGTATAACTCATAATATAATTGATCATCTTATTAATATTTTTATTTAATTTTATTAATATTTTAGTGCAAAACTTTTTTTTATTTATATTTATTTTTTTATATTGTTTATTGTTATTATTTTGTTATTTCATTAAGTTACAAACTGTAAACAATAAAGAATCAATTTTCCGTAACTCCAAACATGTTATTTTATTTTTTAACGATTAATGCCCTTTGAATTTTAAACATGGCCGACCTTGACTGTAATGGCTAACCTGGACTACAAATTTTTTTTTTTTTAAATCTTTATAACTTTTTCATTTTTAAACCTGTCAATTTACTTTGTACAGAAAAAATGTTCCTATTAAACAGGACTTTCCAACCATATACTTCAATTGTCCAAATTCATTTTTAAAAAAAAGTTATAAACAAAAGTCAAAAAGGTGGCCGACCTAGACTATGTTCCCCTAATTGAATTCTTTTGGAAAATATTATTAAAATAGTAAATATTGAAAATTATTGAACGATAACAAATTTTTGGAAATAATTGAATTTCGGCAAAGTATTTTGCTATTTATAAAAATAAAAAAAATTCAATCCTCATAAAGAAATTTATTAACAAATTTTTGAAAAATTGAATTTTTTGAGGAATTTCAATAAAATTTTTAAAAATAATTACATTTTTTGAGGAATTCGATTAAAATTGTACTAAAAATAATTAAAATTCTCCGAAAACTTTTATTATTTATGAAAATAATTGCATTTTTGCAAAGAATTTTATTAATTAAATTTTTAAAAAATAATATTCCTGAGAAGAACTTTATTATTTATAAAAATAATTAAATTCTTGCGGAGAATTTTATAAAAAAATTTTTTTTTTAAACGAATTTTATTAAATTTTTGAAAAATAATTGGATTTTGAAACATTTTTGAAAATAATTGAATCGTTTAAAAGAATTTTATTAGAATTTTAAGAATAATTGAATTTTTGCTACGAATTTTATGAAAAATTTTAAAAAATAATTGAATTCTTGCAAAGACTTTTATTATTTATAAAAATAATTGAATTCTTGCGAAGAACTTTATTGCTTTTTTTAAATAATTGAATTCTTATGAAGAATTTGATAAAAATCTTTTTAAATAATTGATATTTTCGAAAAATGTTATGAAAATTGTGTCTTTAATAATAATTGAAATCCTGTGAAATTTTTATGATTTATGAAAATAATGAAATGTTTGCGTAGAATTTTATTAAAATTATTTTTAAAATAATTGAATTGTTTTGAAAATTTATATTAAAATAGAAGATGTTGAAAATCATTTTATTAAGAAAATTTTTTAAAAATAATTGAATTTCTGCAAAGAATTTTATTATCAAAGGTTCCTTTCTTCAGATTCTTTTTATGATGAAAAAACAAAGAAGAGAAAAACTACCTTTCACAGAATCGAATATTCTATTTTCAACATCACCGGTAAATATAAGGCCCAACATTGGTTTTATTCGTAAATTCCTCACAACTCTATTGTCCAGATAATTATCACAAGAGTCATTATTTTTTTCTAAAGATTTGCATAAATATTCGGAGCCTCTTGTTTTCAATTCACTTATTGCCGCGTCACGCCAGCATCTGAAAAATAATAATCCCTTTTTATTTTTTTTTCATTAGGGGGCAACGTAATTTTGAAAAATTAAGTGAAAATGCTGTTAACCAGGTGAAAGTTGCAGCTTCGTAAAAATAATAAACTTTAAATTTTGGAGTTAAAAAATATTTAAGTGATTGACAATTGGCAATCAATCAAATCAATCAAATCAATTTTGGAAATTAAGTTTTAGAGTTCAGCTTTATTAAGAATTGAAAAAATAATACAGAATTAAAAAGTTCTGTTTGTACTGCATTTTATTATTAAAAAATACAACTTTCAGTCATAGACATTAATAAGTTACAAAAAATCGTCAAAATTTGTATTGATTTTGTTTTTATAGTTTAACAGAGACAGAAATAAGAGAAGAAGAATAAAAGAAAGAAAAAAAGGAAACAGAAAATATTTGGTTATAAAATACCTGCAAACCATTGCTGCAGCTGACAAGTCTTTTCCATTTAAAAACTTGAAAATAATTCTAAGAACATCGTAGGTTAAGTCTTGAATTTTAGAATTTAATGTTTCACTCGCACTTTCAGTTTTCGATTTATTCTCTGTGGTGCCACATAATTTTTTAGTCTTCTGGTCATCCATTTTGTTTGTTTACAAAAACTGCCGACACTCTATTTGTCAATATTTTTTGGCTTTATTATTATTTTGAAAAATTGTTTACTCCGAATTCGTCATTGGCAATTTGGCATTTGGCTTAACAATGGCGCATGGCCTGAAATTTATCACCAAATTCAGGGTTGCCAACAGATTCGATGACAACAAAGTCCTATTGGTCGAATTGTCCCGCGTTAATTTGACAGGATTTTTCTCAAAAGTAGGGATATTGAGGATATTCTTGGATCAACAACTTGGATATTCAGAAGCCTCGGATCGACTTTAACGAGCAAAAAAAAATCGCTTTAGTCGATTTTAAAAATAGAAAATAGTCGAAAAAGTCGTTTTATTTAATTCAGTTTTGTCACAAAAATTTTATTTTGTTCACTGATTTCTAAATTCAAGTAATTAAAATTTTAATCTTGAATAATGTTGCTAAATAAATATTTAAATATACTTCTTATTTTTTTTATGGGAAATAAATTTTAAAAATTTCAACTTCTGAAATTGAATAATTTCTAAAAATTACAAGTCGAAAAAAGTCATAATATCCAATGGTGATTAAAATAAAAATTGTATATTCTCTTCGTTCTATGAACACATACAGTAAATATATTACAATCAATTAAATTCAGTAATAAAAAATTAATCAAGTGGTTAAAATTTGTAGATAATTTTAGGAAAACAAAAATATTAAATTATTAATGACCTGGTTGATTGCATTCCTCTCGGCTTGATGTTCAAAATCAGCAATTCCAATACCGACAATATCGGGATTTGTCGATATTTCCACAACAACGGCGCAATTATTTTTCGTTTTTGTATCGAGTTTCGACGAATAGTACGTCAAATAGAGAGGTTTCAAAAAATCGATAAATTTCACTTTTAATTCGCTGAGAAAATCCTCGGTAATATCACAACTTGACGATCTTATTAATTCATCAAAACTTGACAATTGTTTGAGAATTTCCAAACGTGTATCGTCATCGTAGGATTTTTTTAAATGTCGATGATAGTCATCTAATTTGACACCTAAATTCACTTTCTTTTGGGGCAATTTCGTTAGTGTTGAATACCTTTCAATGGCCATTGTATTTGCATCGTTTTCTTTTAATTTTGCCTCATCGTTACGTATATCAATTTCGCCGGAGTCATTTAAATCCTCAACGACTATTTGAATTTTCTCGAGCATTCTCCTTGCGGCTTCGTGTTTTGCTTGCTTTTTGGTGGTGGCGACTCCTTCCTCCTTGAATGAGGATACTAGACAGGATATTGTGAAAACTCTAGCGTGCGGTGGACCGATGTCGTCAACTTCTTCGTATTCTGGTGCTTGGAGATTGTTGTCCACACACAATTGCTGTAAAAAAGAAAAAAGTTGAGAAAATTTGATCAAAATCTTTTAATTTAAAAGTTTGAAAAAATGATAATTATTATAGAGTTGACACAATAAATTAATTTCGTTTTTTCCTGACTTTTCCCTGATTTCAAGACAAAATTTTCACTTTTTCCCAAAGGAATATTCTGATTCAATCTAAAAATTATTAGATACTCCAAAAAATGTTCTATTACATTTATTGACTTATAAGAATATTATTAGAAAACATGAAGAAATGGATCACTCCGAGTCTTCGACTCGGAGTGATCAATATCTTCATGTTTTCTGTAAATTTACATTTCCATAAAATTTAAAAAAAAAAAATTAAATTATTTACAAAAACTTTAATAAAATCCTACGCAAGAATTCATTATTTTGATAAATAATAAAATTTTTCATAGAATTTCAATTATTTTCAATACTGTTTTAAATGAATTCCTGGAGAAATGTAAATATTTATCAAAATTTTATACGAGAATTCAATTACATTTCACAAATAATGAAATTCTTCGCTGAAATTAAAATATTTTCAAAATCTGCTATTTTAATCAAATTTTTTCAAAGAATTCAATTATTTAAAAGAAATGTAATAAAAATTCGTTGCAAGAATTTAATTATATTCATAAATAATAATATTTTACACAGGATTAAAATTTTAATAAAATTCTATCAAACGATTCAATTATTTTCAAAAAATTTATTAAAATTCGTTGCAAGAATTCAATATTATTTTCGTAAATAATAAAATTCTTCACAGGATTTCAATTATTTTTAAAACAATTGTAAGTAAATTCTTTGAGAATTGTAATTATTTTAAAAAAATTTTTACAAGAATTCAATTACATTTGACAAATAATGAAATTCTTCGCTTAAATTCAAATAGTTTAAAAAACTGATATTTGAATCAAATTTTTTCAAAGAATTCAATTATTTAAAAGAAATGTAATAAAAATTCGTTGCAAGAATTTAATTATATTCATAAATAATAATATTTTACACAGGATTTCAATTATTTAACAGAAATGTAATGAAATTCGTTGCAAGAATTCAATTATTTTCGTAAATAATAAAATTCTTCACATACGAGAATTCAATTATTTAAATATAAAAGTAAATAATTTATTGAATAATATAAATGATTCACAAAATTGAATTTTTTCGACGAATTTTAATAAAATTTTCAAGAATAATTACATTTTTCGAGGAATTCGATTAAAATTATATTAAAAATAATTGAAATTCTGTAGCGAGTTTTATTATTCATGAAAATAATAATTTAATCTCTGTAAAAAATTTGATTATTTATGAAAAATAATTTAATTATTGCGAAGAAGTTTATAGAAAATTTGCAAATAGCTGAATTCATATGAAATTTTTATTATTTATGAAAATAATTGAATTTTGCAAAGAATTTTATTAAAATTCCTGCAAATAATTGAATTTTGCAAAGATTTTTATTAAAATTCCTAAAAATAATTGAATTTTGACAAGAATTTTATTAAAATTTTTGAAAATAATTGAATTCTGGAGAAAAATTTTATTAATTTTAAAGATAATTGAAATTTTGACGAGAATTTGTTTTATATTTTTGAATATAATTGAATTTCTGCGAAAAATTTTATTACTTTTGAAAACAATTGAATTTCTGCAATTATTTATATCTTCTCAAAAAATTAAATTTTTTCCAGTATTTTAATAAAAATCCCTGACTTTTCCCTGATTTCCCTGACCAATAATTCTACTCTCCCTGATTTTTTCTTGAATTCCCTGATTTCCTTGAATCGTGGCAATTCTATTTCACTTACTGATAAGGCTCCAATGGCATTTAAAAAGGGCATATTCGTCGAACGTTTAGGAGAAATTGGCGGCTCTGTTAACAATGGTCTTCTCGCAGGAGATGGAGCTGGAGACTCTTGTAATTGAGGATATGCACGATGAGCAGCAATTGTTTCTAACATTTCTTTAGCAGCTTCGTGTTTTGCATCTTTTTTACATCGTCCAGTGCCAATGGCCACGAATCCATCGCAAGAAACTTGGTACGTAAATGTATTATCGTGTGTTCCTCCACCGTCGTGAATTAATTCATAATTAGGTACACACTTCTTCTTCGTCATCATTTCTTGTAGAATTGAAACCGGAGTTTTGTTCATGATTTCTCTTGAAGGAACTTTTCGAAAGTCTCTACTGGCTTTATCCTCTCGATATATACTCGATACTCTGAAATAATAAAAGATATAGTCAAATAAAAAATATACTATTTAGACTACTAACTTTAATAACGAATACTTTTGTTCGCTAAAATCTTAATTTTTGAACTAAAATTCTGACAGTTTTTTCGACATGCAAATTTACATACGAAAAATACTGATTTTTTATATTTATATACACTGGTTTGTTTTATAAATTTTAGATATAGTTGTTAGCTACTTTAGTTCTTAAATAAATGAATAAAAAGAACAATGTAACGTTAAACTAGTAAATTATAAATATTAACATGAATTTAAACGTTCTGAACGAATTAAACGTTTTAAAACCTTTTAAACGAACTTTGGATATTTTAAGGTTATGTTGATAAGGAAAATATGCACATTTCTCATATAAAAGTTTATCTCTCTGGAGAATCAATGACCAACACAGATTTTAAATAAATATGTACACTGAAAATTTGTTATTATTGTCATTGTACACCGGAAATTTATGTGTGCGTGCAACTCATGTGACTTACCTAAAAACAACTAGAAAGTGAACTATCTTGAACACAACAAAATACGTCATATCATAATATCACTAGCAATCACTAAAACCACTAGAGATACTTACTACTAGATCACGTGGTCAGACAAGACTCGTGGCAACGTTCATGACAGTTCATATTGTGCAACTCACTTTTCGAGTGCTTTTCAGATATTACTGATTTTTTTTTTGAGAATTTTTAGAATCAGAATGTTTTTCAATTAATTTATTTATAACTAATGAATTTATAATAACGTACTGCTTTGTGTCTTGTGAAACTGTAAATAAGGTAAGTCATCTAAATGATTATTTCTCTTCTAAATCTACTCCAAGTCTCCTATTTTCTAAAAGAAAATATTTCTTTCGGAGCATTTCATTTTTCTGTGTTAGAAAAGATCTCTGTTAAAATGAAAATGAAAGGAAAATATTAAGAAAATAAAATCATGTAGCTTGAAATAAATTTACAAACTTTGTTTCTGTATTTACAGTAAAATTAAGGCCTTTGAAAGAATATTTTTTAGGTTATGTTGTGTCATAAATTTTGGAGTTTATCAGATTTTTTGGTGTATATCGATTTATGTTAAGAATACTTTTTGAAAGAATAATTTATTAGAATTATTTGTTAGAATTATTTATTAGAATTATTTATTAGAATAATTTATTAGTATGATTTATTAGAATAATTTTTTGATAGAAAAATAAATATAATCGCTAATTGAAGTTTTTTTTGTCATTTTAGGAAAAATGAAACTGTGGCTTGTTGTACTTCATATAATTTTAGTCGGTACTAATTTATGGGTAACTGCTCACTTTCACGAGGACGTTCATGAAGACAATGAATTTGCTGAATTTGAAGATTTCGAGGAGGAAAAACCGAAAGCACCTGCGGTTATAGAAAGTGAGACTGATGAATTTATTGAAACAGAGAAGGATCAAACTTTCGAAGAAGACGATGTTTTAGTGGAAGATGCAGACAGTGAATTCGATCACTTTCAAGTATGATAATAGAAATTAAATTAAATTTTTAGAATTCAAAAAAGATAATCCTGAATTTTTGTGTCTTTTTTGTTAAATTTTGTTAAAATTTTGTCCTGATGTCAGGGAAAAGTTAGTGAAAAACAAAATTAAATTTTTGTGGCAACCCTGATTTCTCAATTAAAAATGTTCGAAAACAATTTCTTAATATTTAGAAATATTAGAATATTATTAACAAAATATGAAATTTGAAGGATGAAGAGGAATTCGAAGGATTGGACGTAGGTGGCGGAAATGCGAATGGAAAACCAGACGAACCGTCAACTCTCACAATTACCAAAGTCCCTCTTCATTTACGTGCAAGATGGGATAGTTTCTATTTGGAAATTTTAATGGTCGCTGGTTTGGTTGTCTACTTTATAAACTACATTGCTGGCAGATCGAAAAATTGTCGTATCGCCGAGTCCTGGTTCAATGATCACAATCAACTGTTCACCGACAATTTTTCCCTCGTCGGCGATACGGGAAAGTCGAGTGAAGAATCCTCCGACAATGGCGGTACAGTTGTTAAAGAAAGTGAATCACAATACAGTCTCTATTGTTCCGGGAGAGTGGGCTGTGATTCAATGCTCATTGAACTGAAATTAATAAAACGACAAGATTTAGTTGCCGTTTTAGCACAAATTGTGCGACCACAGAATGATCAAGCGCAAATTAGAATTGAATTCTCGAAAGATGAGACTGATAATTTTGTTCTTGCTGTTGCTTCGAAGAAAACAGCAATGCATTTCACGAAAGACGTCGCTGATATTAGTGTCTATTGTCCCGAGAAACGACCCGGTGAAAAGTTTAATTTACCCTCTGGTTTTTATGTGATGTCCGAAATTGCTGAAGCAACTTTCACAGTCTTGGATACGAGGGTTATTCAAGCTTTTACTAAATATGCTCAGTATATTGATTATATTCATGTTAGTGATCAATTTAGTGGCGCAAAACAACAAGAGTGAGTTAAATTTTTTTTTTTTGTGAAAAAATAAAAAAAGAATTCAATTTAATTCTCAATTTTCTTTTACAGGGATTCTAGTCAACTCACAATGCCGGAAGTGAAACGAGTACTTTTAATAGGTCTGAACATCAGTATTAAGGGCCGTATTCAAAGTGCAGAAATGCAGGAAAGAATGAGGCCTTTACTTCACTTAACTTTCCATTTATTGGACAAATTACGTCGCTTCAAATTATCTAAAGAGGTTTGTATTTTTTTTCCTTTCCTCAGGGTGGCGACATGTCAGTAAAATCAGTAAATTCAGGGAAATGTCAGTAAAACAAATTTTTTTCCAGTAAAGTCAGGAAAATGACAGAAAAAAAATTTGTTGTCAGAGAAATTTTAAAAAATTGAGATTTTTTTCGACATATTTTCAGAAATTACAACTTTTTTTCTAAATATTGCAACAAAATACCATATTTTTTTACTATAAAATGTAACATATTTCGATTTTTGTAGTGCGAAAAATAACTATAAAAAAAACCTTTCAAAAATTATTTTTGAATCATTTTTTGAAGATAATTAAATTTTTCAAATATATCTATAATAAAAATCATCTTTGAATAATTGAAATTTTGTAAAATTTAATTGAAAATAATTAATTTTTTTCAAGTATTTTGTTACAATTTTTGAAAATCAACTTTTGAAGAATTTTAATTGCAAATTTTTGAAAATGAATTGAATTATCAAATATTCTTAAAAACAATAATAATTGAGGGTTCTAATCAAAACACTGTTAATGAAAGATAATATTTTCTTTTAATTAAACAGGGAAGATCGAAAAGTGACAAAAATAGACAGCGAGTGGAAGAAGCATTTTTAAAAACGACACACGCTGCTCGAGCTGAAGCGGCCGCTCAACGTCGCGAGGAACGTCGACGACAGGAAAAAGAGAGAATCCTCCAGGAAGAGGATCCAGACAAACAGAGAAAATGGGAGGAGAAGGAGCAGAAACGTCTCGCCAAGAAACGAGCTCCCAGAATGAAACAACTCAAAGTTAAAGCATTGTGACCCAATAATGAAAATGAAGCAAATATCGATACGCGAGAAAATTGAAGAAAACAAATTTAAAAAAAAAATAATTAAAAAACGCAATTAAAAATTGAAAAAAAAAATTTATAAATAGCATCGGAAGTAAACAAAATGAAATTTGAATCAATGAACTGATCAAAGAATTATTTAATATTCTCGCTGCCAATTTAGCGACTAAAATTGTCGTTATTTATAATATAAAAGTCTGAAAAATATGGTGATTATAAAATCATATAAGTTTACCGTCAATAGGTAAATATCGACCTTGCACCAAGTTTACCATGATTTAGACAAACTTGGTAAACTTGTTGCAATTTTAAACTACTACATTTACATTGAAAAGAATAATGAAATTGTTTCTGAAAAAAATGAAAATTGTCACGCACTTGCGTACAATGTGAATGAATAAAAGTTTTTTTTTAAAGTAAAATATAATTTTTAATTATGAGACCACAGTGCATTAATACACTGTTTCTCTGTGATTTTTTTTGTAATCTTTTATGTAATTAATAATTTCGGGGATCACAGTGATTTTTTGTAATACTATTTTTTTTTTGTAATAATATTTTTGTAATTAAGTAAAGAAAGGGATTTTTATTTTCAAAAAGAGGATTCAGTTTAGAAGAAGCAATTTTTCTAATGAAGTAAAAAATTATTGTACTGTAGCGTGTGCAATTTATTTGAAAAATTTTTTATACTCTTTCTCTTAATAATAGCTCTTTTAAAACAGATTTTACTTTTTTTCTTTATTACAGCTTTTTTAAATCTGATTTTTTTTGTTAAATATTTTCTAAGGATTTTTTTGAAACTTTTTCCCAAAGTTTGATTTAATTTTTAATTATGATTTTTATTACAACGCTACTTTCTTTGCAAAATTCTATGCATTTTACTATATTCAAAGTAAATTGCAAAAAAAATAGTGAAATTTACTTCGGACTTGGTAAAATTTTCTTCGAAAATAGTAAAATTTAATATTAAAATTTGTTATTTCCACATTTCTTTAACTGTTTTCGAAGACAATTTTTATTATAAAAATTTTGTAAAATTTAATTCAGACCTGGGAAATTTCCTTTGAAAATAGTAAAATTTATTATTAAAAATTATTATTTCCAGAGTGAATTTTATTATATCCGAAGTATAAAAATTAGTAAATTTACTTCGGACCTCGTAAAATTTCCTTAAAATATAGTAAAATTTGTTACTTTCAGAATACATTTATTATTTTCAAAGAAAATTTTTTTTATAAAAATTAGTAAAATTCACTTCGGACCTGGTAAAATTTTCTTAAAAAATAGTAAAATTTAATATTAAAATTTGTTACTTTCAGAATAATTTTATTATTTTCAAAGACAATTTTTTTATAAAAATTAGTAAAAATTACTTTGGATCTGGTAAAATTTATTTTAATAATAGTAAAATTTAATATTAAAATTTATTGTTTCCAGAGTAAATTTTATAATATCCGAAGTAAGTTTCAATTAAATTTACTTTCGAATTTGGTAAAATTTCGTTCAAAAATAGTAAAATTTACTATTAAAAATGATTATTTTTAGAATAAATTTTATAATATCCGAAGTAAATTTCAATAAAAATTAGTAAATAAACTCTAAAAATAAAAATTTTTAATATTAATTTTTTTTAACAGAGAAAATAGTAAATTTTACTATTTAAATTCGTTATTTGCTGAGTAAATTTTGTAATATCCGTTGTAAATTTTATTGAAAATTAGTGAAACAATTTTGGTTTTAGTTCGTAAGTTGAAATAATTACCAGTTTAATTTTTGCCCTGTATGGGAAAATTTTCAAGTTTGAAAAGTCTGAAAAATAATATAAAACGATTTTCAGGTGTCAAAAAACTAAAATTCTTCCAAACTTTACAGAAAGTAAAAATTATTTTCTTCAAGTATTTTTATTTTTCAAACATTTTTAAGCATTTTAAAATTTTGTTAACTTACAAAAAATGACAAGTTTTTTTTGATAAGGGAAAAGGCGAGAAAATTTATGATTTTAGGTACCTAATTTTATTTATTTAACGAGATAAAAAAGGGAAAAATAGTAAAAAAAGGAAATTAGTTAAAAAAAAGAATAACTGTGATCTCTGCAATTTTAACCTTTGAATTATAATATTTTTAGATTGGTACACTGAATATTTTAAAAATTCTCTACTTATAAAAGAATTCATTGCCATAGTGATTGCTTAAAATTTACCTCTCTTAACGATTATTCTTATCTTTGAAAATAAAGCGATTCGTCACTATTTATGGAGAATTCCTTCGATAAGAAAATAAATCTCTAAGACTACTTTGTATTTCTAAACTGAAAAATAATTTTTGAAAAATAATTTTTCGTCTTATTCTCTTTTAATTATTGTCACAAATTAGCTAACGTTTTAGAATTATACATAATAATCATCAGTGAAATGCAATTTATTTATAGATCGTATTTGTCATAATATTTATTGTATATAAAAAAACTTTCTCAGAGAAATATATATGCACTCAAATTATACATGATTTATTTTTATCAAAATTTATTTTTCCTTACTCATAGAGGAAGTATTTCAAAATTATTTTATAAATATAGTAAATGTTATGCGCGCGGAATGTAATATTCAATTTATTATTATATTTTATTATTGTGCAAATTACAAAATTTTTTATTTTCAAATATGAATCTTTGAATAATTTCCGACTCAATCTTTAAAAAAAATTCAATTATTAACTAATTTACTAATTAATTATATTCTCGTTTAATAATTAATACAGAAGATAGACGATTTTTAAATTTTATTATTCGTTTTGATTTAATGATTTTACAAATACTGTCGATGGGTAAAAAAAAAATTGTAAAATTAGTAAACTTATAAAAATAAAAAAAAATTTCTTGTAACTTTTAGCTATTTTTAGTGAATTTAACTTGATCTTCGAGTAATGTCGCATTTCGTTGAATCACAGTTTTTGAGAACAAAAAATCACAATGTGAGACAAAATCAGTAATGACAATATTCATTCCTCCAGGTCCGGGTTTATTTGCATTTATCCAAGGAAACGAGGCATTTCGACATTTTTCCCCTAGATCACGATATAAATTCCCCCCCAAATGTCTCATCACGTAGGAAATATTCGGTGTCAATAGACATTGAGAAATAAAACCCATATTCGGCGATCTCTTCTCAATTGTTTTCGTTAAAAATTCATCTAATTCTTTGGCATTTGTTGTATCGGGCCATGGCGTCGGCCACATTCCACTTGGCCATAAATCGTGGAAATTTTTTGCCATTATATTCCTGTAGATGACGATAAGTTGATATTTCTCTGAACTCAGCCATTGCAATGTTATATTATCGAGTCGCTTATGGAACGGACATAATTTCCAACGGAAAATATTTTTTATTTTCGATATTAATTGACGATGATGTTCATCGTTGAATAAATAGAAATGTTGAAAATCCAAAATTACAAATTCATAGGGATGCGATGAGAGCCAATTGTTAATTTCCTCGAGGGGTTCATTCACCTCTGAACCATAGAGTCCGTGAAGGAAATAAATTGAATTTGTATTTGGTTTTGTCGCTAGACGAAGATCTAGATAACGAATTCCTCCATTTAATTGTTCCTTCACTGAGTCGAATTGATTCACGGACCAATTGAAAATTATTGGTTTTAATATAAATGGAAAAAAACGTCCTAGGAGTTGTATTATTGTTGATTCGTCGACACCAATATCGTTGTAACGATTTAGGGTGTATGTTGTTGTATTATGTGAACCTGAAAAGAATTTAGAGAAGATTTTGAGAAAAATTGATGAAATTTGGGAAAAATTAGTGAAATTTAGGTAAAATTGATGAGATTTGAGTAAAATTTATTAAATTCGAGAAAAATGATTAAATTTGAGTAAAATTGATTAAATTTAAGTAAAAATGATGGAATTTGAGTAAAATTGATGAAATTTGAAAAAAATTCATAAAAATAGGCAAAAGTTGAAGAAAATTGAGTAAAATGGATGAAATTTGGAAAAGATTAATGAAAATTCGAGAAAGTTGAAGAAAATTGAGAAAAAATTGATGAAAATAGGAGAAAGTTGAAGGAAATTGAGTAAAATGGATGAAATTTGGAAAACATTGATGAAAATTGGAGAAAGTTGAAGAAAATTGATTAAAATTAATGAAATTTGAAAGAAAATGATGAAATAGGAGAATAGTTGAATAGGAGAAAGTTGAAGGAAATTGAGTAAAATGGATGAAATTTGGAAAACATTGATGAAAATTGGAGAAAGTTGAAGAAAATTGAGTAAAATTGATGAAATTTGAAAAAAAATTCATGAAAGTAGGAAAAAGTTTAAGAAAATTGAGTAAAATGGATGAAATTTGGAAAACATTGATGAAAATTCCAGAAAGTTGAAGAAAATTGAGTAAAATTGATGAAAATAGGAGAAAGTTGAAGGAAATTGAGTAAAATGGAAGAAATTTGGAAAACATTGATGAAAACTGGAGAAAGTTGAAGAAAATTGATTAAAATTAATGAAATTTGAAAGAAATTGATGAAAATTGGAGAAAGTTGAAGAAAATTAAGTAAAATTGATGAAATTTGAGTAAAATTGATAAAAATAGGAGAAAGTTGATGAAATTTGAGTAAAATTGATGAAAATAGGAAAAAGTTGAAGAAAATCAAGTAAAAATGATGAAATTTGAGTAAAATTGATAAAATATGAAAAAGTTGAAGAAAATTGAGTAAAATTGATGAAATTTGAAAAGAATTGATGAAAATTGAAAAAAGTTGAAGAAAATTGAGTAAAATTGATGAAAGTAGGAGAAAGTAGAAAAAAATTGAGTAAAATTGATGAAATTTAAAAAAAATTGAAGAAAGTTCAAGAAAATTGAGGCAAATATTTACAGTATTACCACTGATCAAGGGAAGTCAGGGAAAAGCAAGGAAAAGTAAAATTGGTTAGAGAAATCAGGTAAAAGTTACTAAAAAAAATTTTAATTTTTACATCTCATAAAAAAATTCTGAAATTTAATTATTTTTAAAAGTAATAAAATTCTTCAAAAATATTCAATTATATTGAAAAATTAAAAAAAAAAAATTCACGTCAAAATTCCAATTTAATTTTTTAAATTGCAAAATCTTTCTCCGAAATTCAATTATATTCAACAATTTTAATAAAATTCTGGGCAAATATTCAATTATTTTCAAAAATTTTCCTCAATTCAATAATTTTCAAAATTTATTATTTTAATATAATTATTCAAAATAATTAAATTATTTAAAAAATTTTTTAATAAAATTCTACGCAAACATTTAATTATTTTCATAAATAATAAACAAATTTTCATAAATTCAATTATTTTTAAATTTTTCATAAATTTCTTAGCAAAAATTCAATTATATTCATAAATAATAGAATTTTTTACAGGGTTCAATTATTTTTAAGAATTTAATTAAAATTCTTTGCAAAATTCAATTATTTTCATAAATAATCAATATTCATTACAAGAATTCAATTATTTTCAAAAGAAATATAATTCTTGGCAGAAATTCAATGATTTTGAGGTATTGTAATAAAATGCTTTGCAAAATTCAATTATTTTCATAATTAACTAATATTTATGACAAGAATTCAATTATTTTCAAAATTAATATAAATTCTTTGCTAAAATTCAATTATTTTCAAAATTAATATAAATTCTTTGCTAAAATTCAATTATTTTTGAGAATTTAAAAAAAATTATTGTCAACATTTTAATAATCTTTGTAAATAGCAAAATTCTTCGCATGAATTCAATTATTTTCAGGGATTTTAATAAAATTCAATTATTTTCATAAATAAACAATATTCATCACAAGAATTCAATTATTTTCTAAATTTATAAAATTCTTCGCAGAAATTTAATTATTTTCAAAAATTGTTTAAAACTTTTCGTCTAGATTTTAATTATTTTTATAATTATAGCAAAATTCTTCGCATAAATTCAATTATTTTCAAAATAAAAATTAATTAGGGAAAAACAAAATTAAATTTTTGTAGCAATACTTTGGAAGAAAATTGGAGAAAATTGAGGAAAATTTAGGAAAATGTCTACTTACGAATTATTGTATTTAAAATTCTATCAAGTACAAGTTCATAATGTTTTTCAAGGCAGAATGTTTGGAGAATAATAAAAACAAGTTGTTGGGAAAAAATTTAATTGTGAGAAAAACCTTGATTTCAGTATTCAATTAAATATGTCTATTATAATGACTTAAGTAGACAATCATATATGCAATTTAATTTTCAGTTTTATATTTCATATCAAGTGATGATGAATAAATATTCTTATTCCAAAGAAATTGTTAATTTACTAATTGAAAAAACTAAAAAAGTGTTAATTAAAAAATTAAAATATTAAAAAAAGAAATTTTCCAAATAAAATTAATTTGACTATCTCATTTTTTTTTCTCTCAAGTAAATTGCGAAAATTGAGAATTTTTGCAAAATTTAAACTTACCGGGAATTGCCAAATGAATGATGGGTAAATTGCGAAGTAAAGCCGGAAGTCGAGTCATCCAGTACTCCAAATTATCACACATTGTTTGTGCAGGAATTTTGACATTTTGATAATTATCCAATGAAATTTCATCCATATTTTCCATACTTAATTATTTTTTTTTTTATAAACACAGTGAATTTTCCATAAGAAACAAATAATAAATTTCACGAAATTGAAGAATTGAGTACCTCTGAATTTTTTTCCAGTAAAAAAAATCTATAGTATAGTCGGAGTATAATGAAATAAACAGTTAGATGAGATGTGTGGTTATGACTAGGAAAGAAAAATGATATACACACTAGAGTTTTATTATTTTTTCCCCATTTTTTACACTTCTTCCACTCTGCTGATGATTCATGATGCACACCTTGTGAGAAGACTTATTAAATTAGTCATTTTCAACATATCCAATGAAGTATAGAAACAGAAATTCAATGAGAGGCAATAATTCGGAAGACATAACCTCGACTAATATTTTGAGTGCAGAAACTTTTGTTTTTAATTATTGGAGTTCTGAATAAGGGTATATTTAAAAAAATAATAAAATTTTGAACCTAACTTTATAGAACTTTTGGCATCTAATTTCAAATAACATTTTTTAAAAACAAGAAAATTAATTAAAATTAAAATTCTTTTACAAAATTTTAATAATTATAAACAAAAAGAATTATAAATAAAAATATATTTGAGTAGATAAAATTTGCTCAGATATGATAAAGTACAAATTTATAAGGCGTCGTCTTTGGTAATACAGTTCAGTCTTTGACTATAGCCATATGTTGATTTAAATTTAAGGCGCGGTCTGAGCGTCTACACTTTGTTTTAAAGAAATTTTGAAAATTAAATTAGAAATTAGTTGTTATACCAAATTTTTATTTACAACAAAATAATAATTTAATTTTCGGTATTTGTTAGCTGTTACTGAGGAGACTCAGAAAACTAATTAATTTTCACAAATTTTAACGGTATTCCCTCTTTTGGTCTTAGTAGAAACGAATTTACGTTATTTACATAAGGAATCGGTGTTTCTTCACAAACATCAACTTTATAATTTTTCAAAATTTTTAAAAGACCGACTTTTGTTTGATAATCAGCAAATCTTGCACCTGTAACACAAAATTATTAACATTTTTAAATTATTAGCAATTTCATACAATTTTTAATACAATTTTAAATAAATTTCGGGAAAAATGCAACTATTCTTAAAAATTTTAATAAAATTCTTTAAAAGAATTAAATTATTTAAAAAAATTTGGAATGAAATTCTTTATATACTAATTAAATTGTTTTCAATGTAATTTTAATAAAATTTTTTTGAAAGAATTCAATTATTTCCATAAATAATATACAGTTTTCGAAGAAAATTATTTTAATAATTATTATTTTAATAAAATTCTTTCCAAAATTCAATTATTTTCATAATTAACCAATATTTTTGACAAGAATTCAATTATTTTCAATATTCATCATAATAATTCAATTATTTTTGAAAAGTAATAAAATTCTTCGCTGAACTTTAAGTATTTTCGATAATATTTCAAATAAAATTCTTCTCTGAAATTAAATTATTTTTAAAGATTTTAATAAAATTCTTGACAAAAGTTGAATTACTTTTAAAAATAATAAAATTTTTCGCAAAAATTCAATTATTTAAAAAAATTTAAATAACTCTTTTTAAATGTTCAATTATCTTTATAAATAATAAAATTCTTTTTAGGAATTCAATTGTTTTTAGGGATTTTAATAACATTCTTTGCAAAATTAAATTATTTTCGTAAATAACCAATATTCATTACAAGAATTCAATTATTTTCAAAATTAATAAAATTCTTCTCAGAAATTTAATTATTTTTAAGAAATTGTTTAAAATTTTCCGTCTTGATTTCAATTATCTTTACAAATACCAAACAAAAAAATTTTCATAAGTAATCAAAATTTCGCAGGAATTCAAATATTTACAAATTTTTTATAAATTTCTTCACAAAGATTCAATTATTTTCATAAAAAAAAAAATTTTCACATGAATTCAATTATTAAAACAGAATTTTCCTAATATTTTTTGAAAAAAATCAATGATTTAAAATATAGCTTTTTATAAACTTCTTTGCAAGAATTCAATTATTTAAAAAAACTTTATTAAATTTCAGTGACAAAAATTCAATTATTTTCATAAATAATAAAACTCATCTCTGGATCTCAATTATTTTTAATGCAATTTTAAATAATTTCCGCGAAAAATGCAATTATTCTGAAAAATTTTATTAAAATTCGTCGAAAGAATTCAATTATTTAAACAAATTTGATATAATTTGATTCTTAGAGTGTAATTAATTTAATTTTTCGATAGTTACTTTTTTTCTGTCTTTAAGCTACTTTTTGCTACTTTTTTAAAATTAATTATCGAGTACAACTTTCACCCCGAGAAGAATAAAAATAAAAAAATTTAATATAAATTTTTGTATACCAATGCAATTTCTGGGTCCGTCACCAAATGGCAAAAACAACATTGGATGCCTAAGTTTAACCTCCTCGTCATTGAATCTTTCAGGATCGAAAATTTCTGGATTTGGATAGTATTTTGAGTCCCTTTGAAGAGAATAGGCCGGTATCCAGACTCTCTGGCCCTTTGGAATTTTCACATTGGTCCCGAAAAATGTATATTCATCTAATGAGCATCTCATCAAAAATGGCACCGGTGGGTATTTTCGAAGAGTTTCTATAAATAAGAATTGCAAAATTTTTAGATTCGAGTTGACTGTATTTTTATTTTATTTTCATATATTACACTGAAAAAAAAAATTATTTGATTCAAATAACCGATTAATTGCGGTTTTTATCAATTAAATATCTAATTGAATCAAATAATATTTATTGGAGTCAATTAAATGGTTCAAATCATATTTGCTTCAAATACTGAAATTATTGGTTCAAATACAGAAATTATTGGTTCAAATACTGAATTATTGGTTTAAATACTGAAATTATTGCTTCAAATACTGAAATTATTGAATCAAATATGAATTGAACCATTTCATTGATTCAAATAAATATTTAATTGATAATAGTCCATTAATCTGTTATTCGAATCAATTAAATTTTTTTCAGTGTATGTTAATATCAAGTATAATAATTTAAATATATATATTTATTATTATTATTATTATTTTTATTTATTTATTAACCTTGGAAAACTTGATGTAAATATTTCATATTTTTAACATTCTCGTATGACAAATTAATCTCCGATTTTTGAAAAATCTCATTAATTTCTTGATAAAGTTTCTCTTGAATTGAAGGATTCAGCGCTAATTCATACAAAGCATTGCTCATTGTCGTGGAAGAGGTTTCAAATCCAGCGGCGAAAAATACATTCGCTTGAGCGGCCAACAAATTATCGGTCAAGTCTTTAAAAAAGAAAAAAGTTTAAAGAACAATTTGATGTTTATAATTACATTCTCATTTTTTTCTCATACTGAAAATTTGAAAAATTTAAAATACTCACCTATATTACCCAAATTTTCCGGATTCTCCTTCATGTTCCGCAGCAAATCAACAAAATCATGCCTAACGACATTATTCTCCTTTCTGTATTCAATCGTATCCTTAATTAAATTAACAAAAAAATTATCCATCTCCGTGTCGGAAAGCAGAAAACCAAGAAAATCGTACAAATTCGGAAATGTTTGCATCAATCTCACTTTAAGTGTCCTCTTAAAGCCGACGTCGAAAATTCTTTTCCCCATTCGAAGAAATTCATTGTTCTTATCGGTAAATGCATTGATATCAATGCCAAATGCACAAGAGCCAATGACGTCCGTGGTGAATTTTGCCGTAACACCACGACATTCAATCGAATTTTGATTTTCTTGAACAATTTTCGTTAAATACGCTTCTAAATTTTCCGATGACTTGAGAATGAGGGAGAACATTTCTTTTAATTTTCCAGAAGTGAAAACAGGCGATAGACTTTTTCTCAATGGTCGCCAACGTTCGGGTTCGAGGGAAAATAAATGAGCTGATAGTGGATTAACTTTTTCGTGTAGTCGAATACCGCGATCGGCAAATTTACTAAAATCCTTTATTAATACATCTTTTATTAGGTCCGGATCCTTGAGAATTAAAATTGGTATTCTACCACCAAGCATACCGATCATTTTCTCATCTTTATAATTATCGTACATTTTGTCTATTGTATCCCCAATAAATGCCTTTGTGATTAGCATACTTTTTAGTAGGGAAAGAAAATTTTGCGGCTCTGGACCACGAACACCGCGGACCTTCCAATAATCATTGTTCGACTTGTGTTTCAAGTGAAGAATAAAAATGAGAAATGCGATTAAGCAGACAATTTCGAGAAGCATAATTGTGATGTGGAAAGATTTTTATCGATTTTTTTTATTACTGGCTGAAAACATAAAAGTGAAACCAAAAATTATATTTTATATTATTTTATAATAATTATAAAATAATAAAAATAAATTTAAAAATATTTTTTATAATGAATTATAAAAAAAAAAATTTTTAAAAAGTGTTGAAAAATGATTTTACGAGGGTGATGTTTGCTGCTCTCGCTGAGCTCGACGAGCAGCAAACTTCACCCTCGTACAATCATTATTCAACTTATTTTTTTTTTTTTGTTAATTTGCTCAACTTTAAATTTGCTAATATTAATATTAATTAATATTAATATTATTATTATATTAAAATATAACATCTTCCAAACTTAACACTTCTAATCATCTGAAAATCACCAGAGTTCTAGTAGGGACTGAGCTCTACCCAATCCTGAAGAATAGAGAATTTTATTTCAATTTTTAAGTAGTAGCACCACCACCCGAACGCCATCAGACAATCAAAATTTGGTTAAAACGAAAATAAAAATTTATTTATTCCAAATTCAACACTTCTAATCATCTGAAAATTACCAGAGTTCTAGTAGGGACTGAGCCCTACCCAATCCTGAAGAATAGAGAATTTTATTTCAATTTTTAAGTAGTAGCACCACCACCCGAACGCCATCAGACAATCAAAATTTGGTTAAAACGAAAATAAAAATTTATTTATTCCAAATTCAACACTTCTAATCATCTGAAAATTACCAGAGTTCTAGTAGGGACTGAGCCCTACCCAATCCTGAAGAATAGAGAATTTTATTTCAATTTTTAAGTAGTAGCACCACCACCCGAACGCCATCAGACAATCAAAATTTGGTTAAAACGAAAATAAAAATTGATTTTTTCCAAATTTAGTAACTATAATCATCTGAAAATTACCAGAGTTCTAGTAGGGACTGAGCCCTACCCAATCCTGAAGAATAGAGAATTTTATTTCAATTTTTAAGTAGTAGCACCACCACCCGAACGCCATCAGACAATCAAAATTTGGTTAAAACGAAAATAAAAATTTATTTATTCCAAATTCAACACTTCTAATCATCTGAAAATTATTAGAGTTCTAGTAGGGACTGAGCTCTACCCAATCCTGAAGAATAGAGAATTTTATTTCAATTTTTAAGTAGTAGCACCACCACCCGAACGCCATCAGACAATCAAAATTTGGTTTAAACGAAAATAAAAATTTATTTCTTCCAAATTTAGTAACTATAATCATCTAAAAATTACCAGAGTTCTAGTAGGGACTGAGCTCTACCCAATCCTGAAGAATAGAGAATTTTATTTCAATTTTTAAGTAGTAGCACCACCACCCGAACGCCATCAGACAATCAAAATTTGGTTAAAACGAAAATAAAAATTTATTTCTTCCAAATTCAACACTTCTAATCATCTGAAAATTATTAGAGTTCTAGTAGGGACTGAGCTCTACCCAATCCTGAAGAATAGAGAATTTTATTTCAATTTTTAAGTAGTAGCACCACCACCCGAACGCCATCAGACAATCAAAATTTGGTTAAAACGAAAATAAAAATTTATTTCTTCCAAATTTAGTAACTATAATCATCTGAAAATTACCAGAGTTCTAGTAGGGACTGAGCCCTACCAAATCCTGAAGAATAGAGAATTTTATTTCAATTTTTAAGTAGTAGCACCACCACCCGAACGCCATCAGACAATCAAAATTTGGTTAAAACGAAAATAAAAATTGATTTTTTCCAAATTTAGTAACTATAATCATCTGAAAATTACCAGAGTTCTAGTAGGGACTGAGTCCTACCCAATCCTGAAGAATAGAGAATTTTATTTCAATTTTTAAGTAGTAGCACCACCACCCGAACGCCATCAGACAATCAAAATTTGGTTAAAACGAAAATAAAAATTTATTTCTTCCAAATTTAGTAACTATAATCATCTGAAAATTACCAGAGTTCTAGTAGGGACTGAGCCCTACCCAATCCTGAAGAATAGAGAATTTTATTTCAATTTTTAAGTAGTAGCACCACCACCCGAACGCCATCAGACAATTAAAATTTGGTTAAAACGAAAATAAAAATTTATTTATTCCAAATTCAACACTTCTAATCATCTGAAAATTATTAGAGTTCTAGTAGGGACTGAGCTCTACCCAATCCTGAAGAATAGAGAATTTTATTTCAATTTTTAAGTAGTAGCACCACCACCCGAACGCCATCAGACAATCAAAATTTGGTTAAAACGAAAATAAAAATTTATTTCTTCCAAATTTAGTAACTATAATCATCTGAAAATTACCAGAGTTCTAGTAGGGACTGAGCCCTACCCAATCCTGAAGAATAGAGAATTTTATTTCAATTTTTAAGTAGTAGCACCACCACCCGAACGCCATCAGACAATTAAAATTTTGTTAAAACGAAAATAAAAATTTATTTATTCCAAATTCAACACTTCTAATCATCTGAAAATTATTAGAGTTCTAGTAGGGACTGAGCTCTACCCAATCCTGAAGAATAGAGAATTTTATTTCAATTTTTAAGTAGTAGCACCACCACCCGAACGCCATCAGACAATCAAAATTTGGTTAAAACGAAAATAAAAATTTATTTATTCCAAATTCAACACTTCTAATCATCTGAAAATTACCAGAGTTCTAGTAGGGACTGAGCCCTACCCAATCCTGAAGAATAGAGAATTTTATTTTAATTTTTAAGTAGTAGCACCACCACCCGAACGCCATCAGACAATTAAAATTTGGTTAAAACGAAAATAAAAATTTATTTATTCCAAATTCAACACTTCTAATCATCTGAAAATTATTAGAGTTCTAGTAGGGACTGAGCTCTACCCAATCCTAAAGAATAGAGAATTTTATTTCAATTTTTAAGTAGTAGCACCACCACCCGAACGCCATCAGACAATCAAAATTTGGTTAAAACGAAAATAAAAATTTATTTATTCCAAATTCAACACATCTAATCATCTGAAAATTACCAGAGTTCTAGTAGGGACTGAGCCCTACCCAATCCTGAAGAATAGAGAATTTTATTTCAATTTTTAAGTAGTAGCACCACCACCCGAACGCCATCAGACAATTAAAATTTGGTTAAAACGAAAATAAAAATTTATTTATTCCAAATTCAACACTTCTAATCATCTGAAAATTACCAGAGTTCTAGTAGGGACTGAGCCCTACCCAATCCTGAAGAATAGAGAATTTTATTTCAATTTTTAAGTAGTAGCACCACCACCCGAACGCCATCAGACAATTAAAATTTGGTTAATACGAAAATAAAAATTTATTTATTCCAAATTCAACACTTCTAATCATCTGAAAATTACCAGAGTTCTAGTAGGGACTGAGCCCTACCCAATCCTGAAGAATAGAGAATTTTATTTCAATTTTTAAGTAGTAGCACCACCACCCGAACGCCATCAGACAATTAAAATTTGGTTAAAACGAAAATAAAAATTTATTTATTCCAAATTCAACACTTCTAATCATCTGAAAATTATTAGAGTTCTAGTAGGGACTGAGCTCTACCCAATCCTGAAGAATAGAGAATTTTATTTCAATTTTTAAGTAGTAGCACCACCACCCGAACGCCATCAGACAATCAAAATTTGGTTAAAACGAAAATAAAAATTTATTTATTCCAAATTCAACACTTCTAATCATCTGAAAATTACCAGAGTTCTAGTAGGGACTGAGCCCTACCCAATCCTGAAGAATAGAGAATTTTATTTTAATTTTTAAGTAGTAGCACCACCACCCGAACGCCATCAGACAATTAAAATTTGGTTAAAACGAAAATAAAAATTTATTTATTCCAAATTCAACACTTCTAATTATCTGAAAATTATTAGAGTTCTAGTAGGGACTGAGCTCTACCCAATCCTAAAGAATAGAGAATTTTATTTCAATTTTTAAGTAGTAGCACCACCACCCGAACGCCATCAGACAATCAAAATTTGGTTAAAACGAAAATAAAAATTTATTTATTCCAAATTCAACACATCTAATCATCTGAAAATTACCAGAGTTCTAGTAGGGACTGAGCCCTACCCAATCCTGAAGAATAGAGAATTTTATTTCAATTTTTAAGTAGTAGCACCACCACCCGAACGCCATCAGACAATTAAAATTTGGTTAAAACGAAAATAAAAATTTATTTATTCCAAATTCAACACTTCTAATCATCTGAAAATTACCAGAGTTCTAGTAGGGACTGAGCCCTACCCAATCCTGAAGAATAGAGAATTTTATTTCAATTTTTAAGTAGTAGCACCACCACCCGAACGCCATCAGACAATTAAAATTTGGTTAATACGAAAATAAAAATTTATTTATTCCAAATTCAACACTTCTAATCATCTGAAAATTACCAGAGTTCTAGTAGGGACTGAGCCCTACCCAATCCTGAAGAATAGAGAATTTTATTTCAATTTTTAAGTAGTAGCACCACCACCCGAACGCCATCAGACAATTAAAATTTGGTTAAAACGAAAATAAAAATTTATTTATTCCAAATTCAACACTTCTTATCATCTGAAAATTATTAGAGTTCTAGTAGGGACTGAGCCCTACCCAATCCTGAAGAATAGAGAATTTTATTTCAATTTTTAAGTAGTAGCACCACCACCCGAACGCCATCAGACAATCAAAATTTGGTTAAAACGAAAATAAAAATTTATTTCTTCCAAATTTAGTAACTATAATCATCTGAAAATTACCAGAGTTCTAGTAGGGACTGAGCCCTACCCAATCCTGAAGAATAGAGAATTTTATTTCAATTTTTAAGTAGTAGCACCACCACCCGAACGCCATCAGACAATTAAAATTTGGTTAAAACGAAAATAAAAATTTATTTATTCCAAATTCAACACTTCTAATCATCTGAAAATTATTAGAGTTCTAGTAGGGACTGAGCTCTACCCAATCCTGAAGAATAGAGAATTTTATTTCAATTTTTAAGTAGTAGCACCACCACCCGAACGCCATCAGGCAATCAAAATTTGGTTAAAACGGAAATAAAAA